ATCTCACTGAGCCCAACATAAGCCTGTCAGGAGTAACCATACCTTTGAAGACATCCATTTTGATGCTTGGTATTACTATCAACAATAATCTTTCTTGGGAAAATCGCGTGAGATCAATTGCTAAAAGTGCATCCCAAAAACATGGTTTTCTGTTTAGGGCCAGGAGCTATTTTACTCCCAGTCAGCTGCTTATGATCTATAAGGCACGAATCCGACCTGTCCTGGAATACTGTTTCCATATTTGGAGTGCAGCACTCAAAAATTGATGGGTTCTGTACAAAAAAGGGCAATTCGTCTCGTGGGTGATGCCTAGCTCACGAACTCACTCACTTCTCTGGAACACCGTAGACAAGAAGGCGATCTGGCCCTATTTTATAGATATTTTCATGGACGATGCTCTTCTGAAATATCAACAATTGTTCCTCCATTGGCAGTCCCCGCGAGATTAACCCGTCGAGTTGAGGCTTCGCACCTCTTCGTGGTCACTTTGGAGACCTGCAGAATATCACTTTTCAAAGACTCGTTTATCCAACGAACAGCGAGACTCTGGAACACATTGCCAAGGGAGTTGTTACCCGAGGCATATAACCTCCAGAAATTTAAGAAGAACACCAATTCCTACCTTATTTCCCTTGGTTCTCACGATGTTCTCTGAACATTACAGGATATCCCTTTTCGTGGGAACCAGAACATAAAAAAAAATTCGTAACAAAAACATGTTTGTAGAACTTACGGCTGTTGATAAATTCCGAGAGTGAATTATTGTTTTGAAGGCGCTGTTGATTCAGTTGAAACCAATTATGAAACGAGTATAAATTTTCAAAAATGACAAAAAATTTCAGGGAAATATAGTGGATCTTCAAAAACCAAGTGAACTTTGGTAGCACCCTCTAATTGAGCATTCATCTAACCTAGAAATTGAATGGACAAAAATAACCTGGCCACATTAAGATTTTATACATTCAGCTGACAATATGATCGAATGCACTTCTGATTAATAACTAAATAAATAATACGGAATTCCGGAAAATCATTAACACTCATCCTTCCATCCACTCCACCTCATTCCATTCATTTATATTAATTTCCATTAAATTATGAATCGTTTGAAGAAAGTTTTTCAAAGTCACAATTCAATAAAACGGAAATAGATATTTGTGCAACTACTGCGAAAAGTGTAAAGACGATGTCGAGAGCTGCAATCATGCTGAGTGGAAGAAATATGCTTTTTGCACATGTTGCACACAACATTTTTTGTACGATCGAATACATTTTCTCATTTCGAATTTTGAAGAGTATTTTACTATACAAGCAATATTATTGCGAGTATGAACTGCTATCATAAAAAACTTGTTTCACGAACATTTGCCTAATTTACAGTTAATAATAATAATAATAATGGAAAATAAGTTTATTCAAAGTTTTTATTTTAATTTTATAGCACCTAGGTGATTTTATTTTTTTGATATCAACTGGAATTATATCATATATAGGAATTGAATATTTATAATTCCTTTGTCCAATAGTTTTATTTGTTTTATATTTCAAGGTTTTCACAGTTTTATTTTTTGTATCACGTATATGACTTGAAATTAATATCATTTCCATTCCTGTTATAAGTTATAAATATATAGCTGATTTATTTCCATTTTTTAGATTCTTTGTATAGGTAATAGATCTGTTGGATATAAAAAAGTTTTTTCTGCATAATTTACAGTCTAATCTTCTTGACAAAAAATAATTTTTTTTTAGAATGGCAGTTCAGACGCGTCGTACAATATTGAAAAAATTTACAGTATATTTCAATTTCAATATTGCAGCTAAAGCGATATACTAGGGTTATTGCAGGACAAACTTCATTGTCGGTGATTCTTTTATATCAAACAGCAGTACCTATAAGTGTCTACAGGGTGTCCGTTTTTCGAGCTCCACCATGGGAATCTCAGTTATTATAAAACATACGAGGTCGGTTAAATTGTGACAAAGTTGCGCATTTTCATGCTGAACATTTATCTGCAAGAAAATTTAATGTGTCATTTTTAATGTTTGAATTGTTGAAAGAAAACGAAAATGTCTTCTTATCTTAGTCCTGAAAGTGGTGATTATGGTTCTTCTCAGCTCATCAATATCGATCGGTACAGTATTGAAAATAAAATTTTTCATAGTTCCCAATAAATAAAAATCCAGTGGAGAAAGATCAGGTGACCGCGCCGGCCAACGTATGCCTCCGTTGTTGGAAATCACCTTGTCAGGAAACATATCTTGAGACTCTCGGCAACCTTTCTTGCGTTATGTGGATGAGCCTACGAATTCAACAGTTCTGTTCACATATTCAATTGAACTGTCAAAATTCAGTTGTTATACACACTGTTGGCGTTCCTTTTTCAAAGCACTCTTCGCAAAAATGTTTTTTCCCAATTTTGATCAACAGGAAAGATTCGATCATATCGTGTGATACATCATTGTAATCAGAGAAAAGAAGACTTTTCAAAAATGCAGAAATTCAAAACGGCGCCCATGAGAAAAAACAGAGTTGAGTGTTGTAACTTTGGCATCAAGATCGTCCTGGAAAATACTATGACAGATTCAGATTCCTTGTGAAAAAGTGGATTGAGAATGCCCTAGTCAGAAACGTCTAGGTCTTTTGGTTTTCGCTTGAAAAAATAAAAACTTAAATTACAATAGGTATCTCGGTTTCTTCAAATAATGGGCGTGTATACCTTAGTAGAACTTTTAACTCAAACCATGTTTATAATGATCATTTTATACATGAATAATGATTCAGAAATATATGAAAATAATGAGAAACCTCATCTCGCCATAGTTGAAAGAAAATACCAAACGCCCGACGGAGACTGAGGCAACTGATATATTAATTCTTTCAACTGTGATCTCGCGCTAGTTCACTCTGTCAGAAATCATGTATCATTCATCTCTGTCTGGAATAGTCTTGTTTCAGTATTAGGGTTTTGACGTCACATCATATCGCCTCGTTTTCAGAGGTCCGAAAAATCGGGGATTTCAATATTTTTTTATAAAACATAGGAAGCTCACAGCAAGAAACGGTTTGCGGTGGTGAGCTAGTTTGGGTGAGTTCTATCGAATTATGAAATACATTTTTTTTGTGATATAAGCCTATTCTAAAACTGATAATGACATCGAATGTTCTTTCAGATAAACGTTCAGCATGAAAATGCACAACTTTGCCCTAATACAACCGACCTCGTATCTCTTATAATAACTGAGATACCCATGGTGGAGCTCGAATAACGGACACCCTGTGTAGTTACCATGTTGTCATGTAAACTCAAATTACAAAAAACGTTATCTTCAGAATAAAGTTGTTATGAATAGAGAATTAAAGCATCTCTTGGGCGATCGTATAAAAAAAATGTTTTTTTAAGAATCCATTCAATGGTAACAATTCGATAATTCTTAATGTAATGATTGAAAAAGTGAGAAAGTATCAATGTCATCATTCATCTCATGATCATTCATTCACTTATCAGATCATTTCATGACAGAACAATCAAGATAGATGTTTTAGTAAGTAACACCGATTATCGAACAAAATATTTCTTTTTTGACTCCACCATAAAGCTGTTTCCCATGTCGTTTATTTCTGTGTTCCTGGTTTCCTGTCTTTTGTGAATAACTCCACGAAGGTGTTTATAATGATAATTCAATTGAATCTAGAGTATGCATGGAAGAAATAATGATCTGAAAAAAAGTAGATGAGTTCAATCGAAAATCATAAATTTTTTGTTGGTTAGTTTTCTGCATTTCCTGAATAGATTAATTTGGATCACATGTTGTTCATCTCTTTCATGCAAACTCGCATTGAATATTGTTAATTATGTGTTTCACATGATTATATTCATATTTATAAAAAACGCACTTTTGCATTGATAAGTTGGAAAACAATTGAAATCTTCAAAATAATGTTTAGCTGTATTGATTCACGAGCGTAATGTGTGATTTTTATAATTGAATATTGCATGCTTCATTCAATACATTGAATTGAAACGAATACTTTTCTTCAGTCAAAATAGTCATACTTGCACATTTTTTTGGTTAATGCCATGAAGCAACTGATGTTTTATCAAGGAATCATATGAACATTGAGTTGATTAAAAATCATGTAATAATAATAATGAGTTAAAATATTCTTTTTACTGACATTTTAAAGTCATTGTTTAGAATTGAAAACATACAAAGAAGTGCAGAAAAAACGGCCACGATTGTGACTTCTGAATTATTCTAGATATGGTTTCGAGAATTGGTGAGTAGCAAGTATACCAAATTGCTCATCAATTGATGAAACAATTCTTCTATCATCACTTTCAGTTTCACCGGAAACGACCAGAACTTTTGATTTTTAAATGTATTCCATCATCGGTTAGGGATTATCATAACGAATTCAACGATACCGTGTTCGATAGATACTTCAAACGATTACAAGATTTTTCGTTCGAAGTTTCCATTTTATGCTTAATGGATATGACTGCGCAATATCAAAACTTCTTTCTCTGTCACACTCATTGAGCATATGGAAACTTAGAACGCGAATATCTGCGTAATCGTTTGAAATAACCCTATCAAACCCGGTATCGATGAATTCAATATGAAAATCTCTAACCGATTATGGAATAAAATACAGGGTGTCCCATTGAAAAATCAAAAGTTGGGGCCGTTTCCAGTAAAACCGGAAGTGGTAGAACACAAATTGTTTCGTCAATTAATGAGCAATTTGGTATACTAGCTGCCCACCAATTTTCAAAACCCTATCTCGAATGATTCAAAAATTACAGTCCTGGCCGTTCTTTGTGCACTTTTCTGTATATATTCCACTGAAACTGAAAACAAATTGAGCTTCATTTGCTCACAAACGATTATTATGCTTGGCTAACAATTATGTGATTAATCGGAATTAGAAGAAAAGTATTTGACATAATAAATATAATCAAGTTTCAATGATATTGAGCGATATACTTTTTTAGGTACACATCTCGAAGGAATATCTACAACTTGAACCCATTGGTTTGGTGTTTGTATTCTTCTTCGCACTCATTTTGGTCATCCAGTTCACCGCCATGTTGTTCCATCGATTTGGAACATTAGCCCACATCCTGGCATCGACTGAACTCAACTGGTCTTGCACAAAGAAGGTAATTTATTGTCATAATTTCAGTAAAAAAACACGACATTTACCATGAAACCTACAATATGAAACTGAAATTCAAGCTTGATCCAAATTATTCAATATTTTTGGTCAAGTTCAAAATAATTATTAGGGAATAGATTCCAGGTCTGAAATAGCCTGAAGGTTAGCTTTGTTTATTGATAATTATCCTTATTAATTATCTTCTAAATCAACCATTTTGACATCTACACCGCAATATGAAATTGTCATACAGATCGCTCATCTGAAAGCACTTCTGAGATGCTCAAGTCGTAGGATCCACTCCCATGACTTATTGTGTTCGCAAACATGAGTATGAGTGAGTGAGAAATATGGCAGGTTTTGAATGCGTATACTCCAGAGAACCAAGTTCAATCTAGTAAATGGATAAGCTTATTTGGATTCATGACACTGGCGGTCTAGTTAGTAGTTTTTGTCGGTGAGCAAACATTATTGAAACACAATTCTTCTTGATATTCGTCATTGCTCTCCGAAATATCACTCAATTTAGTTATCAATCCTCAGAAAGTCTGGTTTCTTATACCAATAATGAAATTTTACTGAATACCTACCTATAGAGGTAGGTAAGTAACTAGAAAACATCATCTTCTCGACTTTTATGACGTCAGATACTCATCACCTGTCACCCGCGAACACCTCCATATCTTAATGTAATGGTAGTAAGATAGGTATATCTACAAAATGTTGGAATTTTTAAGCTCCATTGGGAAGAACTATGTATCAGACTTGAAAAGTTAAACAATAATTAATATTGATACTTATATGCCAGGAGTATACATTCAAGGAATAACAACAAGCATATTTCATGTAACCCACTGTCATCAATTATCTTATTATCAATCAATCAATCAATCAATCAATCAATCAACTTTATTTTTCCAAGAAACAACATTTGTTTGTAACAGGAAACATGGTGAATATATCAACATAATAATTGACAAAAAAAGACAGTAAAATAAAACTCACACTCAAGAAGAATATTTTTTTAATTCAGCTGAAAATGATTCTTAATTGACTCAGCTTTCAGGTACCCAATGGAAACTATAGTAATTGTACGAGAAAACTATAAAAATGAGATAGGATTTCGATATTACAGGAGTAGATGTTTCCTGAATTTGTTTTTAAATTTTTCAATACCAATAATCAGCTTCAAGTTATTTGATAGTTTTGTATCATTCCATTGTGATAGATGGATTTATAACCAATATCTGATTCAATTTTCTTTACAGAATAATGATCTACTTGTCTAGTTGTATGGTTGTTATTATGACTACTATTTATTTGGAAAACCAAATTTGAATATGCTGAAGTCATTAGGATTTCATTGACTACGCCATGTTTTATACATCTGAATGATTGCATGGGTGCCACTTCGAGTTTGAAATTGCTATGAAAATTCATTGTAACCTGAAATAAACCGACAAATGAATGAAATATGATGTGATCATCTTCCCACGAAATAAACTTCAACCTCAACGTCACGTTCATAGGACATAATATTAGACAAGTTTAATATTGCCTTGATCCCATATGAACCAATCAAAGTGAAGGTCAAAGTTTCCCCATGGTTTCCAACGCTGTCTTCGTAGTTGGAATAGACTAGGGTCCCTTGATGTAAATTGACGTATTTGTCATCTTAACAGAGTGGACAGATCCTTGTCTCCTCTCACTTTGTGTTTGTGAAACAGTTATATAGTTCCATCTTTATTAATTCCTGGGGATAAACACTAGATTTCTGATATTTGTTGTTTTTTAGGTTATATTGAGGACATTGGCGTATCATACGTAATTTTCACATGTAATTTCTTAATCAACTCTATATATTATATCCAAAATGATGATGATAATTTTCGAGTTTTTGATTTTTCAACTTCAGCATAATCTTTGTGAGGCAATGAGCAAATTTTTCTGGAAGTTTAATACATTTACCAAATGAGACTGTTCTTAGGCAGTACTTATCAATAAATTAATTTTGATTTCAGACTAAGCCTTATGGTTGAAAAATGGTGAAAAATTTTATGTAGGTATTTGAAATAATGTACTCATATGTCATGTATATATTCATGTTGGGAATCATTTTTGCAGTTTTTCACGAACACTTAATATTTCCTGAATGTAGGTATAATTTTTCAAATGGTAGGGCATATGCCTCTTCTTTTAATCCTCCGTTTTAATCAAAACTGTTTCTACTAGAATGCATTCAAGAACTTGTGGAGTGGATAATAATAGGCACAATAAGAACGTATAATATGTGATTTTGCATTAGTTTTACCTCGAATATTTTGCTGATGTATTCACCAATTTTCCCCATTCGGTCACTTCACTTTCCATGTTCTAAGTTCATTTGCATTTGATGGTCAGCTCACAAATTCTAATTTGCCATCCAACTGATTGATACAGCCTAACGCAGCACATTTTACCATCCTTCCAAAACATAATTGAATAATGTCGTATTACAAGATCAAGTATGAAATTAAAATTTTGTAAGATCTTTTAACGCCTATGAATGTGACTTGACAGCAATGTCATGTCAGGGACGCCAATACACGAAACCAAAGTCACTAGATGATTAAAAGAGAAAGGAGCTATGATCTGTCCGTACCCTGTTAAATGACAAATACGTCAGTTTGCATCAAGGGACCCTAGAATAGACCATAGATAAATATTTATTTTTCAGAAAGAGGAAATGTCACCGAATGCCCTGCTGGACAAACAAGCGGTGGAGATAGTCAAACAACTTCAGCGATTGCAAGGCATCGACGGAGACTACGATAACGATTCCGGATCTGGGCCAGACAGGATAGGCAGGAGGAAGACGATCCACAATCTCGAGAAGGCTGCACAAAAGAAGCGACAAATCGGTACTTTGGATGTGGCTTTCAAGAAACGATTCGCCAAGCTCAACGCCAATCCTGAAGCAGGTAGGCTGGATATTGATGAAATAAACCTCTGGTGTACGCACTTCAATCCTTTCCTGTTTTACAATTCCTTGATTTTCGCCTACTTCGATGAACATAACATGGCGTGGGTGAATGTCGCTAAATTTAGTCTGGTGCCGTACCAAAATTACAGGCATCAATGTGACAATTGTGACCGAGTTGTGACCAATGAAGATAGGGAATACATTTTGCGATTTAGCCGCATCAAGGTTGGTAGAACTGATGTTGATCATAAGTTCTAAGAATCACGCCATCTAACATTCGATATGTGAACCCCACGTCATCGTCTGAAATTCAATTGTTTATATCAAGAACCAGTCTGACGAAACAAATGAAGAGTGAGCGCACCAGAGGTTTATTTCATCAATGGCTGGATGAATAATAAATATGATAGGATAAATAATCTTGGATTATCCAATCTTCATACTATATCAGAAGCATCTGAGTGTCAGATACAGCTTTATCGTTTATTGTTTATTGATTATTGAGAAACTAGCTTCCAGTCAGAAATAAAATTCTGGTATGAGGCAGTTGATTACAAAACAACAATAATAAAATAAGGTGACAACAACAACAACAAAATCTGAGAAATCTAAAAATGCTAAATCAATCAAGTCATAAAAATAGCCACAGGGACTAATCAGTATATGGCAAAGTATCAATTTTATCCATTTAATAATAAAATCATGAGTTTTTTCAATTCAATTTTAAATTTTGCAATATGCCTGTAATTTTTTATATTATGTGGTAATCTAATGAATTCAGCTAGAGCAGCGTGAGTAAATTATTTTTGGCCAATTATAGAAGTAGCAGAATCAACATAAAATAATTCTTATGGAAACGAAATAGGTACAGACTTATCCATCGAAGAAGCTCCTATATTTATTTCAATTTCTTATGGAAAGAAAAAAACAATATGCAGAAGTTGAATGCCGCAATGGGGCCTTTCCACAGTCCTTATAAAAAGTTTTACAGGGTAGTCCCTGAAAGCGTAACAAACCACGAATCATTTTTTTTAACGGCAAACGACAAATACTGTCTGTAGGTTAATCGAGGAGGTGGTATATTCATTATTCCAGATTTTTCAATACAAATAATTGTCACTGACAATTCTGATAGGAAAATGCCTTAAACGAAGTGACATTTTCATTTTGAAGAAACGAGGAGAAAATCCCAAAAAAATTGAATAATCACCTTTTTGGCCCCCGAAAAACAATTTTTGTGTGTTGGCTTCTACAGATATCAGGTAAGCCATGAATGAGGCGCAAATATTTGACAGTGGTATTGCAACATTATCGAATACATTTTCAAATTATTCGTGTGATCACCAATTAATCAGAGAAAAACTGTTCTAGGCTCAATAGAGTGGTGATAAAAAGTGAAAATATAAGACATCATGGCCCTGTATATATTTATTTTTGTGATCACAAAAATTCAGAGATGCAAAAAAATATATAAAAAACATGGTGTTCCATTTAAAAAAATCAAAATCAATTTTTGGTTTGTCACGCTTTTAGGGATCACCCTGTAAAACTTCTAGAGGGCTGTGGAAAGGCCTCATTGCGGCATTCAACTTCCAGAAATTGTTTTTTTTTCTCGACGAAAAAGTAACGTTAAAATTGGTGACCTTTTCGATGATGGATGGATGACTTGATACCCAAAGATGAATTCGGTTCAGAACCAACCCCCTCTTCCCGATGTGTACCGTCTTGTATTTTTGAAATTCAAGACGTTATCTTGATTTTGAAGAAATCTTCATGGGGTCTATTGAACCTTTTTGGTACTGTGATTTTCCGAAGATGCCTATGGAAGCAATCAAAAGTTCGTCTTGAGTGGAGGTGCTACTGCGCGAAAAATGTAATAATCTCACTTCTAAAAGGATAAAATCACAACAAAGAAGACATGTCAATCGTCATTCGTCAATGTGTGCCTGTGCCTGCAACTCCTGCGCACTATCCATTGTTCAAGGTTATCCAATCTAGTTGTTGGTCTTTTCGCGATAGAAAACAACACGTCGCGCCACCTGACGGCAATAACTTGAACACTTCTGAGCTATTTGTTTTGATGATATAACCATAAGCAGAAACAAAAAACAAATGTGAACCAATGAAACCAAAGTAAACATGCCGCTTTGACAGCTTTCAAGAACTTCGATGAGGGGCGTACGCCTATTTTCTAAAGCGAATAGAGTGTATTTTGAATCGTAGAAACCATCCATACTTCTCAAAGTAGTCCAATTGATTTTTAGAAGAAAAAGCAATAAGTCACAATGTCTGTCGACCTCGAAAATACTTTTTTAAATAATAAGTAGTGTAACTAGTTTCGGCCACAGGCCATAATCAGACACAGAAATGATGTATTGGGAAGCGCCTAAAAGATGATTATGGACATTGTTGAGGAGTCAAAAAAGAGCCAATAAATCGATATACTAACCCCAGCAATACATATTGAGTGCAAAAAATCAAAAGCCTAGGTAAAATTTCACAATATCAGTCCTGAATTCAAAATAGGTTTGAATCTGGAAAAAGTCCAGTAAAACCAGGGCAGCATTATATTATTGAAGAACATTGGCACAATTTATCAAAAACTTTGAAAAATTCTCTCCGTGAGATTCATCAGGTTATGCAAATGCAAATGGAAGCTACGTTGTAGGTTAGTATATCGATTCCTTGACTCTTTTTTGACTCCTTAACAATGGCCATATTTATCTTTCAGGTACTTCCGAATACATCATTTTTGTGTCTGATGATGGCCTGTGGCCGAAACTAGTTACAACATACTTATCATTAACAAAAATATATTCGTGGTCGACAGACTTTGTGACTTGCATTGCTTTTCCTGTTAAAGAGTGTATTTTGCTTATGTAGGGTGTGTATGATCTTTGACTGAACCGAGCATCTCTTCCAGGCACCCCAGTCCTCAGCAGACGCATGACCATGCGCCGCGAGACGATGAAAGCGCTCGAGGTGCGCATCAACTCCGTCATGGCGGAGCGCCGAAAATCGCACATGCAGACCCTCGGCGCCAAGAACGATTTCGCCGCCCTCGGCAACAACAACAACGCCTCGCGCAACCACCGCAACAGCGTGGCGAGCAGCGTGCCCGCCAAAGAGGTGTTCGAGAACGGTCACGTGAACCAGGCGTTCGACGAGGAAGTGTACGGCAGCAGGAACTCGCTGCCGATGCACTCGCGAGGGAACACCGTCAGTTGGATGGGCGGCAACAGCAGGATGTGATGATGGACCCGCCCGGTTATAATCACATAATAAGATGTTTAGGACATAGACTTTTTCGACTCTTTATAAGGCGCTTTGGAAGTTTTAGAAGCCATTTTGTCGTTTGTAGAAGTCCATGAACGTTGTAATTACTGTTGTTGACGATCGCCAGCGTTATTGATTGTCCTTAAGGCGTTATTGAACGTTTTCCAGTTGTTTTAGAACATTTTCAAAGCGCTGTAAGCGCCATGAACGTTCCCAAGGTGCTGTTGAAAATTTTTTAAAAGCTGTTGAATTCTCAGTGCCTCTATACAGGTTGTCTCAAAACTCAGTAAAATATCGATAGTTTGATTACAATCCAAATTAAGAATATTGGTGCAATACCTTTGAAGAAAAAGAAAGTGTTTGCCTGATTCAAGAGTTAATTCATTTTGATCAGCTTACTCAGACTAGTATTGCACCAATATTTTCATTTTGGATTTATTTTATTTTGGATTATAATCAATTAGGGTTATAACAGGTTGCACAACAAAAATCAAAATCATAAACTTATGAAGTTTTGTACCTGCGGCACTCGAAATACTGATCAAAGGTTTCGATTTTCACGAAATTCATAAAAGTGCCAATATCTACAGAACTATCAATATTTTACCAAGGTCATATTGCGACATTCTGGTTAGTTATGAGCTGTTCTATCAGCCCTCCAAAGGATGACGTTGAGTTTCGGGACACCCTGTATAGACATTTTCAAGGCCTACGAACATTCTCAATGTCCCGTGAACGCGAATTTGGAAATTTTCAGGGCGCTGTGAATGCTTTCACGGCCGCAATGGACGTTTTTAAGGTACTTTTAGTATTTTTAAGGCGGTATTAAACGTTTTTCAGTGTCTTTAGAACGTTTTCGAAGCGCTGTAAGCGATCTGAGTGCATCGCATGAACGTTCTCAAGGCGCACTGAAAGACATTTGAAAGCTGTTAAATTTTCAGTGCCTCTATACGCCTCTCAATGTCCCATGAACGTTTTCAACGCGTTTTGAACGCTTCCAAAGCACTCTAAACAATTTAAGTGCCGCTATATGGATATTTTTAATACCTCCTAGAGTTTTCAATGAATGTATGAAAGTACTTTTGAAAGTTTTCAAAGCGCTGTGAATGTTTTCGGCTATGGGAAGGTTGAATCCTTCTGAGTATTTTTCAATGCACAATAAACAACGCTTTTGAACCTCATAGCGCCCTCAAAGTTGACTTCGTGAAGCTCTACTACAGTATTGAGATAATTCCATCATAAACAAGTAGATGAAAGTCTAGTTTGGTAAAAGGGAGTTGGAACACAAATCTTTCTACGTTTTCAAGCGCCATGATCATTTCAAGGTACATTAAAACGTTTGCAATGCTCTGAACATGTTTCGATATCATCAATGAATACTCTGGAAGCAACCCCTAAAACTGACAATTTTCGTTTTCTATTCAATTAGTCATCCAATTTATCATTCATTTTACTGAGAATTTATGAGAGCACTCTGAATTCCAAAAATATTATCAATGTCACAAAACTATTCTTCGGGTCGACATAAATAGCTATTGATGAAATATCGATATAAGGCTAAGATATAAATAGTTGTCAAAAATGAGAACCTAAAAATATTTCAAAAATTGTTTCATGGTTGATATTTCTATTAAACAATGAGCTAACTCTACCGAAGTGTAAAACTAATGGAACAGAGAGTGCTTCCACCTGTAAACAAATAACTCAAGTAGGTACTTGGACTAGAGAAGCGGATTGAATCACCATTTTGCTCGTTACTGCCAGATTATCAAGTAGGTATTGTAGAATTATTGAAACAATAATAGTATATATTCGGTGATATAGATGGTCCATTACGAGAGATAACCTAACCAATAGTTTTTGTGAAAAATTATTCACTGAGAAAAATATTATGATTTATTACATGTAAAACTTTTTTTTCAAACTCATATCTTGAAACCAGTGACCCAAAATCTGTTATGTGAAACAAGTATCGATATGAAATACTCTATAAGTAATACTCATCTTTTTCAATGCTAATTGAAATACTGCCTTCTTAGAAACAAATATTTTTGTAACTTTGTATATACTCATTTTTCCATCGAATGTAATATTTGTGAAATATTACCTCTATAAAATATGATGAAGACTTAATTATGTTTAGCTCAACTTTTATAGAATAATGAAGACATTTTGTACTATTTCTGTAGTCTGTAGTTTATATTTATATTTACCATAATGATTATGTGATATACAATAGATAATTTGTATATAAATTATTTTGTTTTTTTTTTTCTTACTGATACACCATTCATTTTAGAAAATGGGTTAATTTGATGAAATATCAATGAAAGAAAATGGAAAACCAATTGCTTCATTTGGTGAAAATGAAAATAAATAAACAATAAAAAACATAGCCTCTAACATTTCAAATATAGGCGTCCACGTTAATAGTCATGTTTTGTACAACCATTCTATTCCTGAATATTTCGCAAAGATGTTTTTCTTAGTTTCACGATCGCTCTGACGCCATGCACCAAAATATTTCATTACTTCCAGGGTATAAGTGGAGGAAGCACATTCATTCCTTCTATTTTACAATTATTCTCAACCACTTCATCCACCTCAATCACTTCATAACCGTAAATTAGTATTCATTTTACTTTCAATCAATGTTCATTTGTTCAGTTATTTCAACATAAACTTTCATTAGCCACTTACCACTCATCCAACAAGAAATCCTTGATATAGCAGAAGCAGATGGGGCACAATAGATCTGATTAGGTCGCAGCGCATCTGTCACCATCCAACCTACTAATACCAATACCAATACCACTCATCCTATAGTGAATTGGCTCCGCTTCTAAAGAGTTCAAAGTATTCCCCCAAATCATCGATAGCAATGTTACGTGCAATATTTAACTCACATATACTATTTATAGTCCAATTCATTATCGATTTAGTTTTTCATAACCTCTTTTACGCATATAATTTTTTTCAATTTATTCATTTTCCTCCCTAGGGGGAGTCCTGCTCTACCACCTAATCACTCTTTCTTTTGTTTTATGACCTTATCGACACATAAGTATCCTTTTACATTCACTCTTTTTATCTGAGCGTTACGATAATTGTCACCCTCATCATTCACCGTCATCGATATACCTACATTCGTTGACAGTGATTACACATTGTTAATGGTGACGATTCCACATATTCAACGGTGCGAAATGTTTCCTTTTACAATTGATTATTTCCTCAGTTTCACTGTTAATTTCACTGTTTCTCGATGTCACAGTTACTTATCTGCGCAGTTTCAAAGTTATTTATTTCCTCGGTTTCACAGTTACTTTGGTCCTCAGTTTCACAGTTATTTATTTGCGCAGTTTCACAGTTATTTATTTGCGCAGTTTCAGAGTTATTTATTTTCTCAGTTTCACAGTTATTATTTCCTCAGTTTCATAGTTACTCATTTCCTCAGTTTTACAATGACTCTCAACATTGTTATCTATGATTTCCATATGATCCTCAGCGATTCCACATATTTAACGGTGCGAAATGTTTACAATCTACTCACCATCAGCGTTATACTCATCACTCTCTCAATACTTGACAGGATTTTCCAAGAAATAACTCAGTTCGTGGAATTTGTGAATGGTAATCAGCAACTTTATTTCACATATTTGACAATATTTACAATCAATTAATTATTCTTTCTTAACTAAAATCCTACAACGCCTAAGTTTCTTTTTACAATTACTTATTTTCTCAGTTTCACTGTTAATTATTTTCTCGGTGTCACAGTTATTGATCTGCGCAGTTTCAAAGTTATTTATTTCCTCGGTTTCACAGTTACTTTGGTCCTCAGTTTCACAATTATTTATTTGCGCAGTTTCATCGTTATTAAGTTCCTCAGTTTTACAATTAATTTCAACATTGTTATCTATGATTTCCATATGATCCTCAACGTTAATCTTCACATCATTTTCATCGTTGGCACTTTCCGCTATAGTCACCACCTTTCCGATACTAGACTCCACCACGCGAGAATTCAAAATATTCCCCTCCTCATCCACATCATTGATGGTGATGAGCAAGTTGTCGCGATGCTCCTTCTCCGATTGGACGTTGACACTCTGTTCGCCGGTAGCAGAAATGGACAACACATATCCGGATTTGCCATCGTTGTCGTATTTCAGGTTGTAGGACACTCCAGGCATGACGTTGTTGGCGGGCATGGCTTCGCTGCGGATCATCTCTTGGGTCACCTCCAGGCTTTCGTAACGTACCGTCTGGAGGCGGTAGATGCCGTCCTCGTCCTTGCGGTAGCTATCGGAATGCTATGATATACAGGGGCTGGTAACCGATTCGACAAAATGAAAAGCTCGAAGTCTGCCATGCAAGTTTATATGAAAGTTTCCTCGAACAGACTGACTCTAGCATGGGTACCAGCACATACAAGGTAGGAGGGCAATGAAGAGGCAGACTCACTTGCCCGAGCAGGAGCAAACAAAGCTCTGAGTGGCCCAGAAACCTTCGGTGGTATTGCGAAAGCTATACAAAAAACTAGTATCAACATGGATTCAAACCAAATCTCAAGAATGGTGAAACAACTCGCCAGGAATGAGACAGGCAAAAGAGTTTATTAAAAAACCATTGCCAACATTCACAGAATATCTACTGAGCCAGAAACAAAGTTCAACTAGAATACTAGTGGGACTTTTCACAGGGCATTGTAGGCTCAACAAACACATGAGTACAATAATAGGCCTGACTGAAGAACTGCTGTGCAGGTTCTGTCAGGAAGAGGAGGAAACAGCAGTACACATACTTTGCCACTGTGAGGGCTTGTCAAGACTATGGTTCCTTACGCTGGGTGAGGAAAAACCAGGAGCCCAAAGACACACAGGGGATCTGAAAGCTAGCCAGGGCTAGGCAGGGCTAGCCGAAGAACTCTAATCGCTTTTGAGGGCAGACACAATAGATCTGAAAAAGTCGCGGTATGGAGGAAGGTAGCCCGAAGGCCCCATTCTAAATCTAATCTAATCTTCCTCGAACTTTCAAGATATCGTAGAACGCTGATGAAAAAATTAAGCGCACCTGGGTCCAATCTGAGTTGGCATTATATGCAAACGATATTACCCTGTTGTGATTTAAAAAAATCAAGAAGATATAGTTACATAACATAAATAATCAATGAATTAGAAGAAGAGGAAATAACTGAATATTAATATAATTCTATCACACGAATAGCATTCTTTATTCTGTTCATTCACTTACGAGGTTTGTTTCGATTCTCCAAATTTGAACAATACACAAGAGTTTCAATCTCCTGAAGATGCTAACATAGTTAGCGAAACACGTGTCGGGGCGTTGAAAAAAGGTTTGATTAGTAAAACAGTGTAGTGTAACCTGAACATTGATATTCCTGAACCACTCTGAAATCGTTTATACTGAGGACAAAACAGAATCACATCCAGTATGTTATCAATAACAAAAAAACAATAATTTATGAAAATAAAAATCATCAAAGAATCTACCTTATCAAAAAGAAACCTCATCATCTTCCTATTTTTCTTTAGACATGAGCTTAAAAGGTTACTTCAAGCTGCTGTCATTTTATAATTTATAACTGACTGAATAGTCTTTGAGCGTTTCATATCGTCGTATTCTATGACTATATCTATGACTATCTATCTATCTATTTATCTATGACTATATCTAGAGAAATGGATTATTTAATCATTCGGCATCAAGAGTTTGAAAGGATGCTTCAAGCTACTATCATTTTGTCATTTATCACCGATTAAGTAGTCTTCGAGCGTTTCATTTCGTCGTATTCAATGACTCCATTTAGAGCAAAAGATTATTCCAAGACAAAGCAAATAAAAGTGAACAACCACTTTGAGTTATAGAACCGAAAAGATATGTCGTGGTATCCTCAGTATGACATCCGGAATTTGTGCATAATTACATAATCGAATTCTCACGCAGTGCATGACATAACGAATGGTAGAAAATTTGCATGGCAACTATTAGTCGCGTTTTCTTGTAATTCTCTGCAGTAGGCATTGTGTAGGAACGAATAAAACGACAAAGAATGAAGAATGGCATTGATGTGATGACAACCGTGTGACAAGCACATGCAATCAACAATAAAAAAATCAAAGTTTAGATTAAATGAATGTTTCGATCTTTGGATTGGATCCATGAATAATTGATGATAATACATATTGAATAATAATTTTAGTATATACGTGCGGCCTGTGCAATAGGTACTATGACTAATCGATAATCATTCCCTAGAAATTTGTGTCATTGGATATTATCAAATTTTGATAGTACCTATATATTAATGGGGAGTATTGTGGTGAATCATGCAGTGAGCACCATAATAAATAGGGAAATGGAAAGTGCATTGAAACTAACATTTTTTTGTTGGAGATGATAATACCTAGCGAAATTCTTCATGAAATTATGGATTCGTAAGATGACATGATTAGATCCAGGACGATGAATGTTTCATACTGACCATTTTCAGAATATGTAATGGAAAAGTCACAAAAATTTGAAATTTTAATGAAATTGTTAAACCAAGTTTCAATACAAAATCCTTTCAGAGCCATTTCAGAATGACTCCTGAATGTTTCCATGAGTTATATGCACATTTTTCTTCTTTTGTTGGCTCATCTTTTCAATCAGTAGGTAAGGTACCTACCTATTTCCTATTCCGTATCTACCATTTTTTCTCAAAGTTTTCAGTTTTAATATAATGTCAAATCTCTTATTTGTCAAACATTTCAAACATTCGATGAACTGAGACAAAAAATGGCCAGTGACACCAAGTTGAGAAATTCCACAGAATAGTCAATAAAATGGCGATTCTGTCCCACTGGTGACACTATAGCAATGTCAATAAAACGCAACTACTGTCTCAGCTGATGAGACAAGAGAAATTTGATTTTTCGTTAACTCAACAGAGAGGTTTATGCAATCGGCTCGTAGAATATATCATACACACAATTCATATTCTCAATACCACTGGAGGATGTACGTCATTTTCAATAATATTTCAAATATTCTGGTGTATCAAATAGTCTTGGAGTGATTTTGTGAAACAAACTGAATCGAAATTCGATTTGTAAGAAAAATGTTCAGTTGATTATGTGGATACAAATCAAAAATAGATGGGAACCCAAGTTGCAGTAACTTTGACATATGAGTAGGTATGTACTATCTACCCGCTTTTCAGATGCTACTTTGTTTTAGCATTGAGCTACCATTGAACTGTAGTGAATCATTGTATCACTTCGGAATGATTCAAATCATTGCATCAATCTAAAAATTATCGCACCAATTTTCGAACATAGGTTATCTCGGTCGAACATGACATTTTTATCATCGATTAATGAAAAAATTATTTATGATTCCAATTATTTCTTTGAAATGTTAATGATTGTTCTCACATATATTGAATTTAGCATAGTTCGCTAGCTTTGATTCAAACTTGGGTCGTTTATTTTGTTGGTTGCATGAATAAATTTAGTACGTTAATTGACTGGTTCATACAAATGGCCTTGAGATCTGACCACTGACAATGGATTTCATTTCATATCACTCTGATGACCATCAGTTGACACTAGAGAGGTCCTATTGACAGTGTTGCCTTATTTACCTAGGTATTCTTTCATTATCAATATATTCCTAGGTTAAAAACTCGTAACTTTTTATAAGAGGAACTCCTTTAATAATGGTACTTGTTCAGGTTGGTAGTGGAGAAAACTGTGTAATTTGTTTACTTCAGATGAAGGCAAATGTATGAATATTTCATTGAACACTCGTATTTCTCCAACATTTTGTATCCAGAGTAGTATACTAAGTGACAAAGAAAGGTAAACAGTAAACACCTGGTTTTATGAATATTTTTCAAAATGTTCTCTATCTATAGGTCCTAGGGTCAAATAAAAACTTATAAGATTTTCATAAACTTTGATGAAAGGTTTTTCAGTTATACGCTATTGTCTGCAAAATATGTATGAGCAACACAATTATTTTTATGAAGTAAATTCAAATGTGTGTTTATCTTTCATTGTCACTTGGTGTATTAGTGTGAAACATAAAAGCAATTCATTATCGAAGCATGATTAGTATAATCCTTCACTTCAATTGTTCGGGCGAATGGCGAATGAGACATTTATTTGGAAAATATTGCGACTTACCGAAATCTGGTATGTCCTGAAGGCCAGTGATAGTTATGGAGTTTAGTTAGATGTTTCGTTAGATAATCTCCTCTCTTGAATTTTTTCTTGCAACAGTGGCACTCATAAATCAATATTAAATCAACCTAAAACAGAAAATTATATAGCTTCATTAATACACTGGCTAGTATAATGACAGATTTTTGCCACGTTTGTTTAATGTATGCAACTTTCAAATAATGATTATTATGGGGTTTCAACATGTCCTGGACAATTATTGATTTGTACTCGCATGCAACGGCGTCACCAATCAAATTTGAATGTTCATTGAAAATTGATGATTTCGAACGATTAGTAAATGCGTGCGAAAAGGTTTTTGTTGAAATTTGAAAAGGAATATATTGTGGAACAATTATTGTAAGTGTGCTTTTTCGCAGGCATATTTTTGGTGTTACTTGTATCCCGATATAATAGTACATTGTTTTATTAGGATCAAATGTGACACTTTGTTTGACAAGCGAAGCCGAGCACGCAAGTTTTGCGCGTCAAACAGAATCACTTTTGATCCGAAGGAGACATGCTATTTTTTCTGCAATTGAAATAATTGATATCTAATAAATAAAATATAAGTGAAGTTACCACCATTTTGAGTCACTTGAGCATGTCAGTGTCAAAGCAGCTAACATATCAGCTGTCATCCGACATCTTTTGAGTTCCTAGGAGTTAAACTTCAACTTTAGCTCTTAGACACTGTGTTGCCAAGTGTTGCAAGCAACATACATATTAATCATCGTATTCACTAAGAGAAACGTCAACTTCAGAGCTAATTTTGGAACAAAAATAGACGGCTTTTGAGTCGATCGCAGAAAAACTACTTCGCATACAACCATGGCGTGCACATGTTCTGTAGTGATTTTTCAAAAAATTACCATAGTGCATGTGCACGTCAACATTATATGCAAAGTAGTTTATCGTGATAGAAGTAACACCAAGAAATATGCTTGCGAAAATACATACCTACGAATTATAATAATTGTTCCACAATAGCCCCACAATTTCGAAACATCCTACATCAGGTCAGCATATGAAAATTCTTTCCGCGGTTCATTTTTCTATAATTTCAACAAAAACCAATTTGCATGCATTTACTAATCGTTCGAAATCATCAATTTTCAATGAAAATTCCACAAAAGTGATTTTTATACAGTCAAATTGTGTTTTTATGACAAATTACCATAGTAACGTATTTATTTTAGTGGATATTTTTTTCTCGTGGGTACCCACCAGCGTATGAAATCAGAATTTTTTTATGACGTTTTAATGACAGAATATTATATTGACGTCCTAAAATAGTGATTTTGTGCCACTTCAATTGGGTAGAAATCAACAATTAATATGCTAAGAATCCATTGATGCCCTAACTGCATCTATAATATAGAATGTCATACCACTACCTGGGCCAGAAGGCGTTATGGAAGGCTAAAATTCGAAATCTCTGGTACTGACCGTTTACTGATACGCTTCAACATCAAGATCAAATTACTAAGGTGGACGGACATACTGACCTCCATCAGAAATCCACGGAGGTTCGAAAAGGAGAATTAGGAGAAGGAATAGTAGATATTATGTGCACATGACGTGTGCAGCAGGGGTCGGCAAAAAAGGCTCACTGGGGTCTACTTGCTAAGCGACCGCCTCCCCTTTCTCTACTTCTACTAATATGTACCTAAACCTATGAAAAATTAATTGACAAAATTATAATTTCTTATCACTTGTAGTATCCCGAAGTTAATATAAAATGGAAGAATATAATATGTTACATTTTAAACTAGTATTTTCATGCAAATATAATAGGTAGAAATCAGGAATCTATTATTGGTGCCGAAACTGCATGAATATTTCGAAAACTATTCCGAGTCGAAGACGAGGGATAATTTTCAAAATATCGATAAGCTCGAAATAATTTGCAGAGATAATTTGACCTCTGGTGGTATTACAAGTGAAATTTCATTGGTGAAGCTGCTGCATGCAAGCACAAATTGAAAATTGTCTAGACATGTTGAATACATTAAAACGTTGCATCATATCTGTCATTACCGGCTAGTCCATCAGGTATATATAGTTGATGAAAAAGAGCGGTCCATTTTCGTAAACCTATTCTTTAGTAAATGGACTGTGCAGCATCAGATGTCAGAAGTTTTCAGAGATTATTTTCGAGAATGAACATCTGCCATTCTCAATCTTAATTTTCGTGAATACCACACAGATATGATTCCTTTATTTTATGAACTTCAGGGATTTAGATGGTACCTTTATTCCCTATTTTCGCAGAAAAAAGTGGATCACCATAGTTACTGAGGTAGTTGATATGGTAACAATCAACCCCTTCGATGACGTTTTAGAAATAGAGTACCTACTGTTTAGTGGCATTTGATTTTTTTCGTTATTTCCAACGTTTTACCTATCCTGAAGTGTAATAGTATATACAACTCAGGACTAAAGTGTTTTTAAATCCCTCGACAAATTATGGCCCTCCCGTTGGTCAGGCTATGAATTTATTTCTGCAACCGACACAAAAGTCGTCCATTTTTTATACCAAAGTTAGCTCTTAAATTGACGTTTCTATTACTGACACAAAAAAAGGTATGTTGCTAGGCAACATATTTAGTTTCTAGGAGCTAAAGTTGAATTTTAGGTCCTAGGAGCTAAAGTTGAACTTTAGCTCCTAGGAACTAAAAGGATGTACTGTACGTCATCAATAATAAACAACATTGTGGCGGTTGGTTATTTGGGTTGAGACGCATACCTGATTCGTTTCCGATTTCAGCAGATTTGACATTTCATACCGATGATGGAGATATAAATACACCTTATTATAGTTTAGTATTGGAATTATAAACATATGAGTTAAGTATTATTGTTTTGATCAGGGAAGCCTTCAAGATTCAAAAACTTGCTTGATCTGTATTTCATTCGTTATTCTCGGGATAACTTGTTTTTGGATAATCACGGCAAGCAATTGTTTTTTTGTCTCAAACAACGATATTGTTTAGCTTCATTTGATTATCAAGTCAGACACAGTGTAGTATGGAGAGGAATAAATAATCACCATTATTAGCGCGATATTTGCCATTAGAGCACCTGGTCCATACACAAATATGTCACTCTGTGGTTGTATTGATGTTGAAACTACAATTCGAACATCCTTGAAAACCTAACCTGCTGTTAATGCAGGTAGAATATTCTCACCACAGGGATTATTTGTCAATATTTGTTGCATTGCATATACATATGGCACGGCATTGGTGGTTACTTCACATATTTATTTGAGTTAATTGTTTCGGTTGCAGAAAAAATAGCATGTTTCATTCGGATCAAAAGTGACTTTGTTCGACTCGCAAATTTTGCTTTCGCTCGGCTTCGCTAAACGCTCCGCCTCGCAAATGCAGAATTTGCTTGTCAAACAAAGTGTCACTTTTGATCCTAATAAAACAATCTACTATTTGTCTAGGGATTCAAAATACCACTAGGTGTAGATGGTTATGGGTAAACATTTTCACAGTCGACATATCAATATTCACGCAAAGTGAATATAAATAATAATATTCATGAGCCAATATCTAGACTGGAGACTGGACTGGAGACTGTGCAACATAAATTCTTAAGATGTTCGGCATACAGACTAGGGATTCATGTGGAAAACTATTATTATGATTATCATCTTTTGTGTTCCATATTAGGAATATCCACCCTCGAAAGTAGGAGGATTAAAAGTGATTTATGCTTTTTATTCAAGTTATTGTCTGGTGAAGTTCTTTCTCCAGATCTTCTTTCTCACGTTGGATTAAAAACTAACTCCTCTGGTACCAGGTCAAATGATACTTTTCACATTAAATTTCATTGTCGTAATTATGGATTCCACTGCCCTTTAACAAGAATGGCGCGGAGTGCCAATAGTATGAATTTGCACTATTTTGGCATAACCTTCTCTGCCTTCAGTTCTGAAGTGGGAAGGCGCCTTGCTCTGTGATGCTCTTCATTTTTAATCACCTATATGTTTAGATGTGTACCTATATAATGTATCACATGAATGAATGGTTTTTAATGTGTATTTTTAAATTGTTTATATTGTACAATTCTTGTAATGGATCTGTCCGTAAATAAATAAATAATAAATAATAATCTACGGTTTTGTAACCAAAATCAATATAAAACAGGTCGGTAGCAAGCATAACCTATGCTACATATCAATGGAAAGCAAGTGGTCGATAATTTAATGAAACTTACATTTTCATGTTTCTTGATGTAATGGTTCTCTAAGCCCTTTGTTGTTCGACAAGTAAAGTCACAGTGATCACAGCTCATAGGATCTTCATCATAATGAGTTACCATGTGTGTATTCAGGTTATGTTTGGCCACAAACCTGGGAAAATATTCAGTGTCAACTATCTGAAAATTGGTACAATTATATAATCAACCATTTCGGATTTGATAACATTACAATCCAATATGGCGAACTTCCTGTTCTCATGGAAATGTCAGCAACCCCTGTATATTTTTACATATTCAAGTTCAACAGGTCAAAACAATTGCAATATTTATGACAAGATTCAGGAATGTTGTTTTCCAGACTTGACTAAGTACTTGAAAAATGAATCGTACTACGAGGAAATTCATGAAACTAGTTGTTGATTTTTGAATGTATACAATTTGTAACTGCACCGAAATACATACATGATATGACATTTTTATCTTCAATTTATGTTCTAGAGATATATGTAGGTTCTATTTGAAAAGAAAAAGAACGTTTGGTCGGAATGTGAAGTGACTGAAATGATTCATCGATAAGTGACACAAAAAATATTTTTTAAGAAAAAATCCAATGTCTCCAGTATGTGGAACTCAATGTGAATAGTCTTGACCATATCTCATTTATATCCACGAAGTGAAAAAAAAAACAATTTGAGTTTAAATTTTTTCGAAAAAATAACATTTTACATAAGGGTTGCACTTGTTTTGACCTATTGAACTTGAATATGTAATGGCATTTCCAGAAAATCCGGAAGTCCGCCATATTGGATTGTAATGTGATCAAATTCGAAATGGTTGCTTATATAATTGTACCAAATGAATTGAAAAATATACATGATGTAAGAAGATATAAAGTCAATCTTAAATAATACCTGGCCAGGACAATTTGATTGAAAAATATTTGACATGATTGGATTACTCAGAATTGAAATGTTATAACTTTCATCTTAAGAAAAACTATGAATCTGTTTCCACTGAGTAGATTACATTAGTTAACCTTTTGATATTATCATTATTTTTGATGTGTTCATGTTTCCCTATTATAAACAGATATGTTTCTTGGGTAATAAAAACAATCAATAATCAATGACATTTCAGAAAAATCCGTTAACGAATTCAAAAATTACAGGGGTGGCCCGAGACCCTGTCACCGATTTAGAACTAAATGGTCATTGTTTAACAGAAAAAAAAACATGCATATGTCACCCCATCAATTACCACAAATAATAACTGGTGGTCCTGGGTTTTATTAAATTGACTATTTTTTATGTCACGGAAATTGTATTGGTTTAATATTTTAAAAATATCAAAAGTTACAAATACAAGCTGAAATGATTCTTTCCATCATTTTTCGTTGGAATTAGGGGAAGGATAATTTGTAATGAATGATAAGCGAACGCCACTTGGCGGAGTTTTAGACAGTTATCAAAGTGGTATGTTTACTTTGTTAAGCTTTTGTTTTTGGTTGTCGTGTATGTTTATATCGAGATTAATACAATCTATCTGAACGATATTGGTATACCTGCCATTTTGAATAACATCCAGTTCTGATGATATAACTCTAATACTATGCCAAAATGTCACAATTCAGTTCATAAAAAAACAAGACCAAGTGGGTTCTAAACTATCTTGCTCAGTTTATCCACGGCATTTCTTAAATGATTTTAATCTCGAGAGAAAAGAATGTTAAAATATCTAAACAATTTGAAGAATCGGTCGAGACGGCAACGCTGTTTATCTCACTGAATAGGGAATTATGGATTTTTGTCGACCACCAATAGACGGTCGGCGCCTTATAATACTTGTGACGTCAGTACCACTGACGATTTTCCCTGGGAGCATTTATTCGGGAATGTATTTTGGGAAATCAAGAAGGAATAAAGAAGTCTTAATGTTTCACTGTGTCTTTTATCATCGTGATGAAACTGATGAACGCCCTATAGTACTTTTTTCTAGGAATGAGTGTTCTTGCCTATTGCTCAATTCAAATAAATGTAGCACTCTCCCTCAATATTTCTTAACGAAACCAAACATTATCAGAATAAATGAAAATAATGATGTTCTTACGATTTATCACATTCAGTGCATTTGTATGGCTTGTCCTTCACATGTTTGAATCTGATGTGTTTGGCCAGAACAGACGGTTTCGGACAAGTCATGTCACACATTGTACATTTATAATGATTGATGTGGGACCGCATATGATCCCTCAGTAATCTTTCGGTTGGAAATAGTTTCAAACATTGTGAACATTGGTAAGTTTGCACTGAAAATGAAAAGTTATGTCATTACAACACAGCAAAATATATCAAATAATATCGTTATATGGAGTAAAGAAAATATAAATAATCACAAAATTGTATAAATATTCCTTTTTCTATGTTGCGTCTTTAATGAAGTCATTATGACACTCAACATGCGTATCGAAACAGCTTCTATTAGGACACGCTAAATTTCTTCCATCAAAGATGGTAATGGGAACGTCAGACACAATATTTTTCCTACCATCTGTCAAATTTGAGAATGAACATTCGACTGTTTTTTATTGTTACCAACTTAATTCATATATTTCTAATATGCGATGTTTTTATTGATGAATTTTTTGTTCGAATAAAAGTCCAAATAAATCCAATATAGGAACAATAGTATATTACTGACATTTTATAAGACATAGTGTCGCACTATTTTTTTTGAGCACTCATCGCTTCGATCGTCGACAAAAAAGTGTCTTATAAAACTTCTATAATAAAATACTATTTTCTATTTTTCGTCTTTGATATAGTCGTCATGACCCCCAAATGCGCATCAAAACAGCTTCTATTAGGATACGCTAAATGTATTCTTTCAACGTTGGTAATGGTAACGTCAAACTGTCAGACACGATTTTTCATTGTTACCAACTATATATCTTACTTCATCTATTTCGTCATATCTGATGTTTTTATTGATGATTTTTCTGAATAAAAGAGTACAAATGAATGCAAAAAATAGTACATTACACACGTTTTAACACTCTGGCTGCCGGGATCCTGTTTTTCTATCTCTATTATAGGCTTTGTCAGTCATATGTGACCGACGGGACTTATAAAAAAAAACGGTGCTTGCCAGTGATTTTTAACCGACAGCAGAAGTTTCAGTTCGAGCCGTGTCATGCAAAAACGACCGAAGATGCATTCAAATCTCCATTAGATCCGAATTCGCAGCGCTCAAATTAACGTATGTGAATTTTTTCGTGGCGCTCACTATGACATGTATAGCTACAATAATACCTCAAAAACGTTAATTGTATAAAATGTGAAAAAACTCATGAACATATCTCAATCTAATTATTGTTGGAATGGGTTTCCACATGACCATCGACGCACATAGAAGGCATCTCTTGGTAGCCTTCTCAATGCGTTCGCTCTCTTTCACCTCATTTTTAGCCCCCTTTCTTGTACATATTGTTTCACGGGATTTTTGTAACAAATTAATCAATTTTTCTAGTTTTCGGTGTTTTATCCTTTTGCTGTTATAGCAAATGTTCCAACCCCTGTGAGGGTGAGGTGTATATACATTAAAAAAATTGCCTTGCCAGACCGCGTAGGTTGATTTTAGCTGACATCCTTTTATGCCCTTCTGTACACCAGAACGACTTTACAATAGGCCTGTTCATTTGTATTGCTAAACTTACTGAAGTTGATTTTTTTTTTCATGGCATCATGTAAACAGAGAAATTCATAGAAAAAAATCAAGTTTAGCAGGTAGAGCAAACACAAACGAACAGGCCTAATGTCTGAGCAGCAATATGCTGATCACTACTCTGAACACTTCGCGTGGCCTGACGCTTTCGAACCAATGAAAATGCATCGGCTCAGCACGAGATCAAGCTGTCGGTCAAAAAATGACTGACATGACAGTCAGAGTGTTAAAAGACATATTGTGCGACGAAATAGTGTCTCATAAAACTTGCACAAAAATATAATACTATATTGAAACTAGCCCAAAAACTGAATACAAAAACACACATGAGATCAACAAACAATATCAAATAATTTGAGAATACTCTCAAACAATGGAAATTCCTATATGTATAAGTACTTTCTTAGTATACTTCTTTGCCTAGTTCATTTTCAAACAGAATTTGGTATCTGCTTGAGAGTTGATTCTTAGTTCTTCGCTGTCATATATGAATACATATTGATATAGTGGCTATGTATTTTGTGAATGATTAAAAATTTGGCAACAAATATGATTAAATAAGTATTCATAATAGGTTGTGATATGATCGATAATTATAATAATAGTTATTTATACACCAAGGTAGCAAGGAATATCATTATTACTAACTAAGAATATTATATCCCGAGGCTTCAGTGGTAATAATATTCTTTACTACTAAGGTACCATATTGAATTTTTTTGACCACTAGCAATATATTTCAATCATTATAGTTCTGTGAAACTGAAATGTGGACCTAAATATGACACTATGTCACTTGAAATCTAGTCACCATGACAGCTTAGGACAAGTTGTTATTGATAAATACCTACTAGATTCTAGTGCCATTCCTGTGAATATCGCATCAGAACAGTGAATTCGGGTTGATTATTACAGAGGTGGCTATCTCCATTGACTTAATTATTAGAAACACACTCCTGTTATTTATAAAAAATACTTACGCTCCATCGATATTTGTCTCTTCCTGTGATCACAGAATTTCGTTTTGCTTGAGAAAACCGTGGAACAAGTAGGACACCCAATAATTTTTTCTTTAGTGTGACTTCGTAAATGTTCAGTTAGTTTGACTTGTTTGGATAACTTTATGTTGCAACCTGGAATTTTGTCATTATTACACTTTCATATAAAAGATTATACGTGGAAAATTAGTTAGTCATAGGCTCGTTCAAAAATAACATTGAAATATAAAATATGGTTTCCGTTAATTTTCATTTCCAAGAAGGTTATTCGATGCCATGATCTTTGACTGGTCCATTTCTAAGTTGATAGTATTTTGACATATCGTCAACCATTGAACGTCATAGGCGTTCGTTTTTGCAATTTCATTATTTCCGTGTTTAATAAGTGTTTATTAAATACATATCGTTAACATTTTTAATTTATGATATAAGAGGAAAAAATTGTCGAACTAAGCATAACCAACTCAGAATCAAGTTTTGAAAAATCTGAAAATTATGGGTGTTTTGTCAACTGCTCAAAGTAGTCCTCAATAAGTCCTCAGATAGAAAAAATAGACATAAGAACTCTTGAGGAAGCATATATATGAATACGCCCACTAAATGAAACCTTTGAACTTGTTTGAACGAAACCAAAATGAAACGTTTCAAGAAAAAAGCACCCATGTTTTATGTTTTTTTTGTTGTGTTGAGATCTATTCTACATCATAATAAATACCTATCACTATAGAAAATCGCAAACCAAAAAACAGCTGCTGCTACTATACCACGCCATCAATGTAGTACTGTAATTATAATTATATTTTACTTAAATTTTCAATATTATTTTGCCTAAACCTTAGTATTCGGCATTAACATGTAAATGAGACCGAGTAATATGTATTTCGTACGTCGAATTTCTTGTTGCTAAGGAAACTTGTGATGGATAGGAGACGCGAGTGTGAATTGGGAAAGAGGAAGGATCGGTATCGGTTCAAGACAGTACAAGGTCAGAAGGTGTCGACGGAAACCAGGCGAGAGTCAATGATAGCTTAGACAGCGTGAGATGAGCGTGAGCTACACAACACTCAATCGCCAACTAATGCTACAGTTCTATTTTGAGTTTGCGAAATACCTAGTGACTGTTGCTGATTTCTGAATGTATGTGTTTGGCAGAAGTGGTCAAACCTGATACTTAATTTGTGATCTATCGTATCCAGTTGCTTAGTTTCGAGGAGCCAAAAGGGGTCATCAGGATTCACAAAGAATTTTATCAAGAATGAATCCACATCTGAAGGGAATGTGAATGATATTGGTGAACGGCACAGATTACCATCATCAGAAGCTATTTACATAAAAGTGGGATCCATCCTTTTGGCAATCGAATTATATTGGTTGACTGTATATTCTTTCGCCGTTTTGGGGACAGTTTCGGGCTAGTGTGGACTTGATTAGACTATTTGCGTTTTGTATTTCTCACATCTGAGTGATCGGTTTTTGCCTACTGATTGTAAAATAAGAATGAGTAGTAACTCATAAATTTGTCAGTATCTACTGTCTTTGTATCTTTATTTCAACACCATATCCACTTTCTTTGAAGAGTTGATGAAACTATACAAAATAGGAAATTATGAAACGTGTCCAGGACAGTTTTCTTGAAACGCATCCAATGCAGTTTTGTTGGAACGTGCCCATAACGGTTTTCTTGGGACGTGTCTGGAATGTTCCATAAAACTTCACTGAGATGGGACATTTACATTCTCTGGAACGTTTCTGAAACGTTTCTGATACTGAAATATGTTTAGTGGGCGGGCCTCGATGGAATTGTCATTTTTACTCAATTCACAAAAATAATGGCTGGCGTAAATGTTGAGGGAATAATGGATAAAAACATCGATAGATTGCATAAAATATTTACCTTTCCAATAACAATACATAATTTGACCACTGTTCTCCTCAGTGAATGTTGGATTATTCTTGACATGTGCCGCCATATGATTGAAGAACTCATAAACAGTGCAAAAATTGTGTGAACATTTACTCCACTCGCAGGTGTAGCCGTTAGGAAATACTGGAATTTTGCACACTTCCTTTTGGGTACATTCAGGCAACTTATTTCTCTCCACTATGTTCTTACCGATATTTTGCAATTTAGCAATATATCCATGGTAAGATAAATGTTGCATGAGAAGTGGGATCATGCAAGATTTATGTGAGCAGTTCAACCACAAGCATTTGAAATGTACTGGAAATAAAATATCAATCTTCAGTAATAATAATAATAATAACATAAGTTTATTCAAAAACGTTTACAAAATATACATTGGAATAAACATATAGGTAATTTGAATAAACTGGGAAAAACCTTACGAAGTTAACCTTGTAGTAAGGATAAAAAATAAATAAATATACATAGGTCAATAAATATTTAACAATATAAAATTATCACAAGGGAAAATTGTCTCATCAAGAAATAAGACAAGTATTCAATTCATGATATATAGTGTAATGAGCATTTCATTCAATACGCATAATTATTTATATTCATACATACTTATTTACAATTATTATTGAAATTTATCTAATGATATTTATAAATGTTAATTAAAGAAATGAAATAATTTTTAGGGGAGTTTAATATCCAGTTTTTTATTTTTATTGTATAGGATTGTAGTGATTTTGTTTTTATAATATCATTTGGAATTTTATTATATAGGTACGGAATTAAAAATTTAAAATGTCTACGTCCAAATGACTTGTTTGTTTTATATTTCAATGTTATGTTATTTTTGGTAGAAATCTGACTGCTCAAACTGAAGGGATACAAGTAGACGAAGAGAAGGAAACTTGTAAGACATCTAATTCATTGTACAGTGTTGTACTAGCTATACCTAATAATAATATACTCGCTGATATCTAATAATGATAAAACATTCTCCTGTCCCAGTCACGGTATGAACATTCCTGTGTGTATTCGGTAGGTATGAGAATCGGTGGTAGAATCCATTTTTTAAATCCAAAACTCAAGATGACGGATCCAATAGGACGGCGGACGAGTTTTGTAATTATCTATCTAGGGGTTTTCGGGGTCGGAGATTAATTCTTTTAAATTGGCTTTGTAATAAAATAGTAGTTTGAGAAACTATAATGGAACACGCTTTTATGAATAGCCAAATTCAAGGCCAAACTGAATAGAAGTAGAAAATTTATAGTATACTTAAAAAAACGAGATAGATTGTCGAACTAAAAAGAAGTAGAAAATAAAAATAGAAGTTTGAAATACTAATGAAACACGAATTTATGGATAGCCAAACTAAAAAGAAGTAGAAAACAAAATAATCAAAGTGTGTTGATAAATATTTAACTAAAAAAATATTTTCTATAAATGAATGTATTTAGCAAAACAACGATTGCCGGATATAAGCTATTGAAATAAAGAGTAGTTTGAAAAATTAAAGAGATATATATATATATATATAGTGCGTCGAGGTAATAAGAAGTAGTAAATGAATAGAATAGTGAAAAACTAAAGACCAAAGAAGGAAAGGTTTGTATTTCGTGCAAGATAATTTATTCAAAATATTCGAAGCAGAGCGCTTTCGACTGTTAAGTCATCATCAGTGCGTACTCGTCAGGTTAACAGGGAAATTCGTCCATAAAAATATCTTTGGTCCAGTTTGAAACTAAAGACATTAATGTAAAATATGTTATAAACAAATTGAAATGTGTTTCCCGAAAAGGGGGTAAAATATGGATTACATTTTGTTAAGCAGCCATTGTCGCACGACATGTCGTGTTGAAGTGAAATTGTCCGAACTCTTATACCATCTAGGGTCCCTTGATGAAAATTGACGTATTTGTCATCTTAATAGGGTATGGACAGATCCTCGATTCCTCTTACTATAAAGTGTTTGTGAAACAGTTATATAGTTCCATCTTTATTCATTTCTGGGGATTAACACTAGATTTCTGACATTTGTTGTTTTTTTGGGTTATACTGAGGACATTGGCGAATCATACGTAATTTTCACATGTAATTTCTCATCCAACTCTACATATTAAATCCAAATGATGATGATAATTTTCGAGTTTTTGATTTTTCTGATAGTTTAATATGTTTTTCCAAATGGGACTGTTCTGAGGCAGAACCTATCAATAATCGAATTCTGATTTCAGACTAAGCCTTATGGTTGAGAAATGGTAAAAAATTGTATGTAGGTATTTAAACTAATTGTGCTCATATGTCATGTGTGCCGTATATATTCATGTGGGTATCATTTTTGCAGTTTTTCACGAACACTTAATATTTCCTGAATGTATAGGTATAATTTTTTAAATGGTAGGGCATATACCTCTTCTCTTACTCCTCCGTTTTATTCAAAACTGTTTCTACTAAAATGCATTCAAAAACTTGTGGAGTGAATAATTATTGACACAATGAAAAAGTATAATATGTGATTTCGTATTAGTTTCACCTCGAATATTTTGCTGATGTATTTGCCAATTTTCCCCATTCGGTCACTTCACTTTCCATGTTCTAAGTTCATTTGCATTTGATGGAAAGCTGACAAATTGAAATTTGCCATCCAACTAATTGATACAGCCTAACGCAGCACATTTTACTATAATTCCAGAAGAGAATTAAATAATGTTCTATTAAGATCAAGTATGAAATTAAAATTTTGTAAGATCTCTTTAAACGCCTATGAATTGAATGTGACGTGACAGCAATGTCATGTCAGGGGCGCCAATACACGAAACCAAAGTCACTAGATGATTAAAAGAGAAAGGAGCTATGATCTGTCCATACCCTGTTAGATGACAAATACGTCAGTTTGCATCAACCCTAACTAATACCATCCAGTAACTCTAGATGACACCTATCAAATATTGTTTGATTTGAAATTGGGCGTAAATGGATGATTTATTCCGTTTTTTGATCGAATTTTAATATAGACTAGAAGAATGTGAGATGTTCGTCTCAATGTTACATTTCATTCTTCATTCTGGATGATTTTATGAACAACCGAGCTAAAAGAAGTCTTCTTTGTATATTAGCGACGTTTATTCCAGATGTACCTAACTAATTGGTTATATTTTTTAATAAATAGTGTTTTCATTCACACTGATCGTTTTTGTTTTACTGAATCACCTACACATAACATAAAAACAGTTGAGTGATTGCATCCGCATGATGGCGCATTTTTCACAAATTGTTAATATAGGCGATTGGCAGTCCATTTGAGCGAAGCGAGGTTCTGAATATTCTAAAGCCTGATTGAAACAAAATTAATTTATAATCCCTACAAATCCGTCGTTTTTAGACATAATACCTAGATCTTCAGTTGCATGGTCCATCAAATGAGTATTGAAACTCTCCCACGATTTGAAACATTCGCCACAGGAGTTCCAATTACACTGCAATTTCAAAGGCTCTTCAGACAGTTTTTTCCTAGGTTTCTTCTTATTCCGCTTCTAGAAATCAAGATTGTGGATTTCATCATTTATCATATTCACAATTTATTATATTTGATGGTGCATTTTGAAACTATATGTACTTATTACAAAAAATATAGGATGATTTGAATTTGAGTGAAAATCAATTATGAACAGGTTTTTTCTACAGGCAAAGAATGGGCGAGTGGACTGATAATGAATTATTGGCATTCAATAACTCCACTGTGTCTTTAGGAACCTAAATTAATTTTTGCAACACTTCTCAGGCTTTTTTATGTAAATAATAAGTCTATGTGTTGTTCAGAATCGTTAAATTTCAGAGCTCATTTCAAACGTAACGTCATTGGCACCATTTGGCAATACGTCGAATAAATATGGTGACGTCAGTTTCTATGCTATTTCGTTATTGGTCAGATAATCTTCCATTTCCACTAATGAAGCAAGATTGTCAACTCACCAATTATAATCAAGTTATCAGAAAGATGTTCGAGTCCTGTCGAGCAACCATCATGTCCAAATATTTCTTATTCTCCATAACAAAATATCATGTGAATGTTGGAGACTTGGCAACATTGTGCTGAATGCTGAGAACTGACATGACCACGCCCACAAGTCGTGCGCCGTGGTTGTCACGTTCACCGATTCAAATGTCCTCTAGTATGAATTGAAAGGAACCAAGTCATAAACGAACTGTAGACCTGCTCAACTTGAACAGAGCACAGATAAAAACTGTTACGGGACTCATGACTGGCTATGCGCCAGTAAAGGAGCATCTCGCCAGAATGGGACTGTACAATAGCGACCCAAGCTGCAGACTATGTGGCAAGGAACCAGAATCAGTAGCACATATACCGCAGAAGACAGAAGATCTCTGGGCAACCAGTTGGCGAACCAGAAATATTCAACTCACATCCAGTGAAGGATTTGTATGTACAGACTTGTTCAAGGTTCAGAGATAATGGAGTGGGCACAATAAAGAACATTAGGTAAGATACAATGGGCCACCTTAGGCCAAAGTGTCGTCGGAGACATGGTCAGACAAGCCTACAAACGGGGTGGAGTTTTTAGTGGGTAAACCCTGGCTAGAATCAGGGGAGTCCCACACTATCATATGGGGGATAGGACCCATATGGTGTCCATAAAGGATTTAAACCACCTCGACAAAAAAAAAAGAATTAATATGATTATTATTCACACAAATTTATTACAAGCAATAAGCAACAAATCATGAGGGAACATTTTGGGACAATTGAATTTTTATTGCTTATCAAGAATATTACCAATACTCAATTGAGAATTTATGAATTACTGAATAACTAATATTTTTGAAGTTCCCAATCGTATTTCAACACATGGTAACTGTGCTATGGTCTGCCCCTACTTACTGGCGGTAAAAGCCGTTTGAAAATTACCGTGACTTTATTGATGATTTTACCCGTTAAAAGTCGACCGAAAAAGTCTTAAAAAATTGAAAGGCATTTGAGTGATGATTCTATCTGAGAAATAAAAAAAAAATAGTTCACTTGCCTATTATCCTGGGAATAATACTACCCTAAATTTGTATTCATATTGAAAGCACAATTCTTATTCGCGGTAGCCAAGGTCTCATCGCAATCATAACAGATAATCCAGGTACCACATTGATTCTACCTGGGTAGGATTGCCAGCGGAGGGACATTATTGTCTCTTCGCTGGGATTGCCTCAATACGAATTCAATGAGTGCATGAATAATGATGGAAATAAGTAGATGGTGTACTTACTGATGCGCTTTTTCTTCTCGACCACCCAAGAGTCCCGAGAACACTGTTTTCAGTGGTTTTTGGATAGATGGCAACATTGCACAATTATGACATGTCAATTTTTAAATTGCCGCAGATTTTTCGAATTCAGAGTTAAATAAACCCACTATTACATATGTTTCGCGTACCTAAAATACCATTTGCCATTCTATTTCCACTCGTCACCGCAGCAATAGCAGCATCACCATCTAGCGGAAAAATGTAGAATCAACGTCTCGCTCAATGAGACGTAAAGAAATCATAGTAGGCGGTCGAGTGATTTTTCTTAAGTTTTCAATACGTAAAAATGGCCGAGTACGCGCACCATCTACTTATTTCCATCATTGTATGGATCAAGAACAACTCTGAGAGCCCAAAGTTTTCAAACCATTCCCAAACCTCATTGACAGAGTGGTCACGTGATAAATTATGGACGCATGCGCATTCGCTCGTAGAAAAACTTGGTCTCGGGAGAAAGGAAAAACATCCTTGAAAGCCTAAATCACTATACAAATGATCACAGTGGAATGACGTCATGCTATTAGTGGACCAGAATAAAAGTATTACTAGCCGCACTCGTTAGATAAACTATTATTTTCTACGGCTATAACACAAAATTGCTCTTGTTTTACTGTGTTCGATACATCAATGAGGTACTTTGTAGGTATGTCATCAATTTTATTTCCGTGTGTGATATCACAATGACACAATGACTCTATTACTTCATTCTCGTAGGAAATCACTATCATTCTGTGCTCGTTATGCTGGGTTTATAGATTCAATTAAACTAAGAATTAAACTAACAACTAAGAACTAAAAAAGTTGAATACAAGGAAACATTCATGAGGGTTTATACATTTACATCTGTCATTTAAATCAAGAGTTAAGAACTACAAAGTTGGCCAACTTTCAACTTAACAACTAAGAATTATGAAATTCTGGAGACAGAACATGAATATTGGATTTGTAGTCCAGTTTGGTGATATCAAATTGGTATATTTATTATGGATTCATGAATAGTGGAGACCAAAATCTCTTTTTTACATCATATTAATCTTTAATCAGAAGACATTTCACATTTAATTCTTGATTAATATCAAATATGTATAAACACTCTCATGATTATTAATTGATGATTGTTAATTGATAATTCCTAATTGTTAATTTAATTGAATCTATAAACCCAGCATTAAACAATATACTAAATTCAAATAGTAGGTAATTTTTTGTAATTACATATCCCAGTGTCAAGAGTTGAGATGATGAAAATAAGAAAACACGTGTATGATTAGCTTTAACTGAAATAATTTGAACCCATGGAATTTTGAAGTAATGGCATGAAAGACAGATGTAACTGATTGAGGTTAGATATTTGAAAATATTTATTATTTATTTTGGTGTTTGGTAAACATATCTTTGAAAGCATTTTATTATGTTATCAAGTCTAAAAGAAAAAATATTAAGCGTATCATTATTCAGTACTGAAGAAAAATCGACAGACACAAGGGAAGCCATAAATATAAATGCAGGTGCTGCAATTCTACAACATTTCCAAAACCACTGGGAAGAACTACATCAGATCAGTGAAGAAAATGCTGCTGACGCGGAAAAAATAGCAAAAACTATTGACCAAATCTCTGAAAAAATTAATACTAGTAAGGAAAACGTTGAGCTTATCAACCACATTTTGAGTAGTTCAAATTTAGCTAGTAATATAAAAAACTGCCTATCCTCCATAAAGCAACTTTACAAAACCTCAGAAAGCATAGAAAATGATCTTATCAAATTGGAGAACTTGATAGATGAAGTAAATTTTGAAAAAAAGAAAACTCAAGACAAAATCACTCTGGAACAATACAAATGCAAAAAGGAAGAATCATTGGAAACTTTCAGACAAACTTTGCAAGAGAAACATCTCAGGAAAGTGGCAGAATATGAGGCAAGCAGGAAAGTTCTGCTGGAAGAAAGGCAGAAGGTATTTCATGATGCTTTCAGAAGTGATTTAGAACTATACAAGAGCCTGGGAACAATTCCAGAAATAGATGGGGTGAAAAAACAGAATGGAGCATTGCTGGAAGAAATACAGCTGGATTTTGACCAAAGTGAGTTGGATCAGTTTTTCAATGAGGGTAAATCTGACAGTAGCTGAGATGGTTTTATAGGGGAAACAATATCAGTGCCTAGAAGATATCAATAATCATGAAACTCATACAGAAGTAGAAGAAAATGATTCAAAATTTCAGAATCTATGCCCCTCCTCTACAGATAGGTACTAAATTTAATCATAGGTACCAAATCAATAATTACAGATAATTAATTTCTATTAGTTGCTTTTCTACAGACCTATAGGGTTCAAAATGAGTCATTACCACCTATTATTAATGATTATCCATGGGTGGAATCAAGCTCCATATATTTTTGAGTCAATTAATTCTAGATTACTGATCATTGAAGGTGTTTTTTTTTTTCGAAAATTTTTCTTTGTACTTACGTATTTTTGTCTGAAAAACACGAATTTGACAATGATAATGTGAACAAACCACTATTTATCCAGATATTTCAAAAAAAAGTTCAAAATTTCCACTCCCATTTCCCCTTGTGTGGATGCATTTACAGGTACTTGCTCTTTTTATTTTGTCATTGGACACTTTATAAACTCATATGATGTACTTCAATGACACATTTTTATACAGAAAATTCAACAGGAGATATGATTTTTATGGTGAGTTTTTCATATTCAGTGAACAAGCATACCAGATGATGGCCATTTAATTAATAGTCAATCCAAATACAAGATGTCAAATGTCAACAGATTGCTTTTGAATGACATTACACACACCATTATTTTTAATGATCTTCTTCCTTCTTTTCACTAAATATGGATAAATCACAAGAAAATCATATTTCTAGTTGACTCAATAATAGAAAAAAATGTGTCTTCTTAAAAGAAGGTGAAATTTGTAACTTTATGGTGAAATATCTTGATAAATAATGGTTTGTTCACATTTTCATTATCAAATTCCTGTTTTTCAGACAAAAATACTCAAGTACCAATAAAAATTTTCGAAAAAAAACCCATTGCATGCTAAATGCAGTTTTACCTGAAATACCATGGACAAATCAACTTTGAACAATACCTTATAACACCCACAAACAAAACTAGACAATTTAAAATTACTGTGATATTATTGTATATTCATTTCACTCTTTTGACTCAGCTTCTGATTTTAGTTATAATTTGGAAATTATTTCTATATCAAGTTTAAAATGTTACTACCTATAATAGGAGGCAGGTGAATCATGGAATAGCTTAGCAGGGCTCAAAATTATTATGACTACTTCTGTGTTTGTTTTTCATTGTGGGAAAGTGCATAATTTTATATGGATATTTTTATATTATATTATATTATCTGTACCTAAGTACTTTATTGTTGAAATGGTGTATTTGTTATTTGTGATATTGATTATAATAAATTTCAATAAACCAATGTTCCTATTTTTTATGTACACTAGAATTCTTAATTTTGCTGAGTATGATTGGCAAACTAGTTTATAGAATCTTTTCAAATAATTGGAAACTTTGAAAGTACTGCACCTTGTAATGCAAGATCATATGGAAAGTTTTTATATTGAAAACATTCAACTCACTTTTTTTTGTCTTTCATCAATAACTAATTCTGATTCAGATTCAGAATCATCCAACTTCTTTCTTTTTGGGTTCTTGTCTTCTTCAACAACATGCTCAAAAACTGCCATTCTATTTTTTCTCTTGATTCCTTCAGTTTCCTCCATTTTTTGAAATAAGTAAAGCCTGAAAATGTAGATTGATTATTTATTATCTCTTTAAATTCACATATTTTGTCAAAGTTTACTTCATATCATATGTACCAAACTAGATCAAAATGATTGCACCTTTTTTATTTTGTCATATTGTTGGTGATTAATTCCTATTGAAATTCATTCAAACTGCTCGAAAGTTTTCATATGACAGTTCATGTTTTATATTTATTATGCAAGTATTCCCAGTCAAAGTGGCCTGTTTACTTTATTTTCATTGGTTCACATTTGTTTTTGTTTCTTCTGATTGGTCATATCAACATATCATCAAAGAAACCACTCAGAAGTGTTCCAGCAGTTGCCATGAGGTGGAGTGATGTGTTATTTTCTATTGCTAATACTGGTATTGCTGGTTAGTAATTTGACATTTTAACATAAGCTCCATAACAAAATCTCCAGCATATCAGTGTGTAAAGTCCTTGTCAAATACCAACACAAAACATAAATCACTTCTTTCATATAATGGTTCACAAGACAGCTTTGTGACTTCTTAGTTTTACTGTGAGAATCACAGGTGAGAATATGCAGTTCAAGGTCAGAATTTTGAACTTTTTGGACTTTTTATAAAAACTGTTGGGATTTAATCAAAATAAAAAGCTGTGAATGAGGTGAAAACTCAAAAGCAGTATCATTACTTAGCTTAGGAACTGTTGGTATCTCAAAGAAATAAAATATGATGAAAAAAACAAACACTAACCTAACTTTCTTTCTCCACAAACATTTGCAGTGAAAGGAAAATGGTTTCTACTGTATATAATGGAACAATATCTGCAGAACTAACTGTATTGTCTTTTTCTCTTAGTTCAATCCATGGAAAATCCTAAAAAATTGATAAATTGATACAAATGAGTCATTATTAGGTATATTTTGTAGCAATCAGCTGAATACCTAATAACTTGTCATAGCTTATTCAAAAACTGAGAAGTATATATTTCTAGGTATATTTCTCTATATGATTTCTATACAAAATTGATTCAAATGTAATGTTGATAATATAATTAATGAAAATGATGCAACATGACACTGGAGATGACATAGGTGATTAAATTAATACTTGGAGTTACTAATTTCACAGAGGGAAAATGTAATAAAGAGGCATTGTTGTCTAAGTGAATAGGTGGAAAATTTCAGGGGTTAGATCTGTGTTTTGGTCTATAAGCAATTCCAGATTCTACTTAATAACACATAAATTGTTGCTTCAATGAAACCCCAATGCAGTCCAAGTTGCACTTGGAGATCAAGTAAAATATGCCATCAGATGACTATTGATATATTCTGGGATAAATCATTCTTAGTACTCCATATGATAATGTTAGTCTCCTCAGTCAAGTTGAGTGAATATAAAATCATGATCATACTTACCTCAAACCTGGGCTCTTGATTAAACTCCACACTAGAATATAGTGTTGTTTGAAGCCTTATACTGAATGTTGCATCATCTGGTAGATTTTCTAGGTAAACTTGAGCAGAATGAAATTTCAAGATGATACTTCTCATAGATTGTTCAAGATCAACCAATAATGTGTCACTGAAAAAATGAATATGTTTATCCATTACCAATAAGATTGCCATGCTCAAGATTGAAAAGTAGAATATTTTTACTCATTCAGAATTGTTTTATTTTCTTCAGGAACTCACCCTTCTTCCACAAAATCACTCAAGTGAAGCACTTCAAACACATATTTTTCAAAGATAGCTTGATCAGAATGAAAACAAAGGAATAGCCTCTTCAACTGTTTCTTCCTTGCATGAAAATTAACAGCTTTCATGCACTGATTTATGTATTCATTTACATCAGGATGAATGGACTGATATACAAGGATACCATACTTTTTCTTGGCTGTGAAAATTGTGTCTGGGTATATTTTCTTCTGGTAAATTATATTGTGAACCAGTACTTCGAAAAATTCACTGAGAATATCTGCTGAGGCTGAAAGAGGATATAGAGGTTGGAGAAGAAACCAGGTAGTATAATGCTCTGAATATTACATACATATTTTCTGAGTAGACATCAATGAAAAGTATTTGTAATTATAAAACTTTCAAAGAAACTGAATTTTCAAATTTATAGGTTAACTTAACTGAACTTAGTGAACTTCAACTTTTGCTGGTGTTGTTAACTCATCTTCTTCTTTTTATTGTTTCCATAACTATCTGGGTTATATCTCTTCAATTTCGAATACATGAGAGTTTTAGCGAATGGGATGATCAGATGATTAATTTACACAGCTGTGAACAAGTGACACTGACAGGAACTCAGGAGTGGACTCAGGAAGCCGGTCCAGTGGCGGTCAATGTTTATTTATTTATTGTTAAAAGGTGAAATTGATATTGCCTTTCCTTTAAAGAATTTCAAGATATTATATACGAATTATGGAACATAAACTGACTGTATTTAGTGGAAACAGACAAAACAGTAACTGTTGTAGAACGTGTATGGTGCCAACAACTGATGTTATATCATTATTTGATTCCATAAATATTGGATCGGAAAAGGAAAGTTTAGATTCCATTCTGCTGAAATGTACTTCAATAAAGGTTAATCCTTACTCTATATTCAGGATGAAATCAAATCTTATCCACAATCTTATCAACTTTTATGTTATCACAATGTTTTCATGCTGCCCCTGTCCAAAGTTAAGGGGTGTGTTTTCAGTAGTTTTCACCATTGGTTGCATTGGTTTTTAGGTTTCAAAAACTGATATTTATCCATTAGGAATATGCCATAACTGTCTGACCAAATTGATGGAATCCTTCTTGTTTTTTCAAAAATGCTACATCACTCAGGGAAGATTAGAACAGATCTTCAAGAAAAATATAATCCTTGAGTACAGAACCAAAGAAAACTTCCATTTAGAAGATACTAATGAAGAACAATTGGACCAGGACCCTAATTCCAAAACAAATGTTGAAAATGAGAACACAAAAGCACCACAATATACAAATTCAAAAAATGCAATGCCTGAATGTGAAAATATCAGTGTACAAGAAATTAACTCTGGAATAAATGAATTCCAAGAGAACCATTATAGTGAAGACAATTGCCTTGGCAATGACTGTGATGAAGACACTGATGATGATAGTGATAGACTCTTTGTGGATTCACACTCATCAGATTGGATTTGTGAAAGTTGTGGTGAGGTTTTCCAAACCCAATATAGTTTACAGATCCATGGAAAGTCACATGACACTTATATTAAAAACCTTGCTTGCACTCAATGTGGGAAACAATTCTCTAGGTATGATATTTGTAGCAAGAGTTGTATGTTATATTGTGTTGATATGTGTTATAATTTTTACTAAATGCTGGCAAAGACTTTTTTTTATTTCTTAGATAGAATCATCACTCAAATACCATTTAATTTATTACTTTCTTAGAATCATTCAGTGGATTTCATCAAGGTACTAAAATTATTAAAATCATCAATAATGCAATGGTAATTTTCAAAGGGCGGCTAAATATTTACTGTGAGATGCTGTGAGTAAAAACTGACAGAATTTCCTAAGTAGGGGCAGACCATATAGTATAGTTGCCATATGTTGAAATGTGCCTGGGAACTTCAGAAAAATTACTCATTCAATGATTCATAAATTCTCAATTATTTATTGGTAATATTCCCAATCTGCAATAAAAAATCATTTGTCTCCTGTATCCTCATGCATGTGTTATTTTGTGGCTTATTTCTTATAATACATTTGTGTAAATAATAATTATTTGTACTGGTAAACAGAACAACATGGTGCACGAATTGTGGTCGGTGTCTTGTCAATTCTCAGCATTCAGCACAATGTTGCCAAGTCTCTAACATTAACATAATATTTTGTTATGGAGTATAAGAAATATTTGGACATATGCTGGTTGCTGGAAAAAGTCAAGAATGAACTATAATAATATCATGGCTTCTTCCTATTATGTTTTATAGGACTCTAACAGCTTTTTCATAACTTGATTATAATTGATGACTTGACAACCTTGCTTCATGAGTGGAAATGGAAGGTTATCTGACCATAAAGGAAACAGCATAAAAATTGACTTCACCATATTTATTCGACGTAAAGCCAAATGCCGGCCACGACGGTATGATCTCTGAAATTCAACGATTTTGAACAACGCATAGACTCATTATTCACCTAAAAATGCATGAGAAGTGTTACAAAAATTATCTTTAGGTCTCTATAAGGACACAGTGCAGTAATTGAATGCCAATTCATTATCAGCTCACTTGCCCGTTGCATAATAATATATGAATGATGGAAGTAAGATATGGTGCGCGTATTCGGCCATTAAGTATTGAAAATTTCAGAAAAATCACTCGACCGCCTACTATGATTTATCTACGTCACAACGAGCGAGACGTTGATTCTACATTTCCCCGCTAGATGGTGATGGTGCTATTTCTGCTGTGACGAGTGGAAATAAAATGGCAGATGGCATTTCAGGTACGCGGAACATATCTAACAGTGGGATTATTTAATTCGAAAAGTCTGCGACAATTCCAAAACTGATGTCATTATTGTGCAATGTCGCCTAAATTAGAAGATCGACGGAACCATTGCTCTCGCTGTTCTCGAGAGGTCGAGTAATATTTCTGAAACAGAAGCGCATCAGTAATTACACCATATCTTACTTCCATCAATCATATATGCTACCTATTACATATAATCAGCATAGCTATGTTGTGATGTTGATCAAACAAAAAATAGGAATAGAAAATTAGTGGCATCCAGAGATCCAGAGCTACCTACAGATCAAGAGTTCATTCATGGCCAATGTTGCACATAGGAAACACTTCGGGCAACGCCTTACAAATTATTTTTTCCATACTATATTCTCGAATTTTCAATAAATTCTAGATCTTCCATCTGGAAAGTAATATTAATTATTCATAATATCAACAAAATTCCGCAGAAAAATGTAGAATAATAAGGATATCTCAGTTATATACTCCATAAGTGAGGAAATCACATGAAAATTCCTATATTATATGATATTATTATGATTATAGGTTTACCTACTTGGGATATATGTCCGAATTGCACATGCGAGGAAGCACAGAAAAAAGTTGCGATGGTTCGTGTAGTTAATATATTTTGATTTCATGTGATAGTCAATTATTATTGTGTCATTGTCGATCTAAACGGAAACCTAGTAGGCCAATGTTCATAGTCCAAGCGAGCCGTCTGCAAATTTCGACCGTCACGTGATAACAAAATGATATATGTCCCAAATAAGGCATGTAAAACCATTGTAGTTTATTGAACGGCACCTTTTTTTTTTCATGTTCTGGTTCCCATGAAAAGGGATATCCTGTAATGTTCGTGAGAACCAATAAGGGAAATAAGGTAGGAATTGGTGTTCTTAAATTTCTGGAGGTTATATGCTTCGGGGAACACCTCCCTTGGCAATGTGTTCCAGAGCCTCGCTGTTCGTTGGATGAACGAGTCTTTGGAAGGAGATGTTCTGCAGGTCTCCAAAGTGACCACGAAGGGGTGCGAAGCCTCAACTCGATGGGTTAATCTCGCGGGGACTGCCAAGGGAGGTAAAATTGTTGATATTTCAGAAGAGCATCGTCCATGAAAATATCTATAAAATAGAGCTAGATCGCCAACTTTTCTACGGTGTTCCAGAGAAGTGAATGAGTTTGTGAGTGAGGCATCACCCACGAGACGAATTGCCCTTTTTTGGACAGAATCCAACAGTTTAAGGGTATGGTTGGATGCCACACTCCAAATATGGGAACAGTATTCCAGGACAGGTCGGATCTGTGCCTTACAGACAGCTGACTGGAAGTGAAATAGCTCCTGGTCCGAAACAGAAAACCAAGTTTTTGGGATGCACTTTTTGCAATTGATCTCACGTGATTTTCCCAAGAATGGTTATTGCTGATAGTGATACCAAGCATCGAAATGGATGTCTTCAAAGGTATGGTTACTCCTGACAAGCGTATGTTGGGCACAGTGAGATCGCCTTTTCTAGAGAAAAGGTATGCTTGTGTTTTGTTTTCATTGGAATCTACCAAGTTATTGGATCTCGAGAATTGTTGCCAAATCCATATTTATGTTGTCAACATTTCTTCCTCGTTCGTTTATGATTTGCCTGGCTGGTATTGGAGCCCTGGAAGAGAAGGCGGTATGGAGGGTACTATTATCCGCGAAGCTGTGTACTGGACATGAAGTTGCTTCCAACAAATCTTTGATATGGAGTAGAAATAGTGTTGAAGCTAGAATTGATCCTTGCGGAACGCCATCATTTATGATAATAGAGTCAGATGAAACTCCGTCGACCACTACATGGAGATACCTGTTTGAGAGAAAACTAACTAGCAGAGAACATAGCTGGGGAGGCAAGCCATAAAGTTTCACTATATTTTTCAATAGATTGCTGCCATATATGTGAGATGTAAGCGAGTAGGTCACCAGTTGATCTCTGATGACGAAAGCCATATTGCATAACGTTGATAATACCTGAATGTTCCAGGTATTTCATGAGCTCGATGTTGATAGCTTTCTCCATGATCTTTGAAATAATAGATAGCAGTGCGATCGATCTGTAGTAGCTAGGTAGGGTCTTTTCGCCTTTTTCAGGAACTGGTTGTACTCTTAATTGCAATTTTCCACTTGGACGGGAATATCTCCAATATGTAAGAGTAGTTGAACAACTCGCAGAGAACAGGTGTTAGTTCGGGAGCACATTTCTTGAGAACAATCGGTGGGATTCGTCGAAGCCACAAGATTTGTTGGTGTTGAGACCCAATGAAATCTTCCTTATAGTATGTTGGCGAAAGGTGATCTCGGGCATATGACTGATGTCAATTGGCGTTATGTTTGGAGGTTGTTTTCCTGATGAATCCAGAGTGGAATTTCCAGCAAACTATTGGGATATCATGAAATATTCCACATAACATGGACCACTAGAATAGATTGAAAAGGAATTGAGGATTGAATTTGTATATGGATAATCGGGTATAGTTGACATTATCTGAAAAAGAGGAATCATATCAGATTCCCAATTTTGTTCGTATCTCCTGAACTTCTCAGTTCACTAGATAATAGGCTGGCCCATGTTATGTGGGATACCCTGTACATTTTCAATATCAGACGGGCTGTTATTGTGAGACAATCGACCATTAATTTTTTCTACACATCAGAAATGACCCCCCACGAAGATACTACACTTCTGAGAGTTACTATACTCACCAGTCGGCTCTAGGGCCATCTAATCTATCGATTTCACAGGGTTTTAGCCGGGCTGCTATGAAACATGGTTTTGGTCACCGCATATCTCTCCTAGTATTATTCAGATCTTCATCAACAACTAATAATAATATGGTGAGTTCTCTTTTTCAGGGCGACTGACGTTAAACGCCATATGTCAGTTCACACAGGAGCTCGACCCTACTCTTGCCCAGCATGCCCAAAGTCCTTTACTCAGTCTGGATCCTTAGCAAAACACATGAGAAAACACGAGGAGTACAAAGTAATGAAGCCAGAAAGGCGAAAGATGGAACAAATGCATTACCTCTGTTCAACATGTGGAAAATCTTTCAAACAGTCTTCTGTTTTGACAGTTCATATGAGGAGGCACAGTGGCGAAAAGCCTCATTGTTGTACTATTTGTGGAAGAAGGTAACTAACTATAAATTGATTGAGAATTTTCAGAGCAAGTAATTGAACTGAATTGATATCAACATAACTGAAAATTATACTCATCTGATAAAATATATAATTCACTTCATATCTGGATTCTTAACCTAGTGAAACCTGACTCTTAAACAAATAATGAATATGCATCTCTGTAAAATAAAAATGTGAACTATTGATGCGTCCGTCTATAAACATGTGTTTTCTCTACTATGTCTCACTTTGTCTCATACAATATATTTTTATTTCAGGTTTGTTTCAAGTTGTAAACTAACTGTACACATGAGATTCCATACAGGAGAGAAACCATATAGCTGCAAATCATGTGGAAAATGTTTTCGACAATCCACAGTACTCAAAAAACACATCAAGTCACATTCTTCCATCAAATCAAACCAGTGTAGTGGCTGTTCCAAATCATTTTCCACTTCTTACTATCTCAATATTCATATGAGAAAACATACTGGTAAGTATTATCAAATGAAATCATATGATTTTTTTAAATCGCTTTCCAAACTATCTAGTCCATTGCCTTTGTAGCAACAATTCTGATTAATGTACACGAATCTCATAACGCCGATTTCATACATATACAAATACTTTATTAATCACTGGAAATTTTTGTACAGATCATGGGGATATGAAATATACAAAAAGATCATAGGACTAGTCAGATAAAAAATACATACAGTCAAAATAAGTAGGTAGTACAACATTTATTCATTAAAATGTGTATTATTAGTCAATATACAGGTAGGTATACACAATTGACACAATTCACGGCAGTTCTAAAATTATTCACATAGCTAAAAATTCATCCATACAATAAAATGCGTCATTTAAGAAATATGCTCTTAGATCATCTTCAAATTTGGTTTTACTTTCTGTCACTGAAGAGATTTTGAAATCTGCTATAATTTTTGTTGGTTTCAAAAATCATCGAACCTGGTCGATCCTCGATCCCTTTTCGTCCTTTCTGAACACAATGGTTTTTGATTCTCGTCAATATCTTATTTTCAAGAGAAGATACAACTGTTTTAGAAAGTATGTGATTTTGATATCATTATCCTGCCTTGTTAGACACCCTACGAGAGCTCAAAAATACTTGGAGGCAATTCCTCAAAACTGCTTGAGAAATTTGATCAACTCGATGCCACGGTGGTTGAATGCTGTAATTCAAGTTCCAGGAGAGCATACGACGGCATACTGGTTATTGCCTATTCCTAGGAGGTCTCATTTTTAATTGTTTTCAGTAATTATGAAGTGTCTCTTTGCTGATGAGTGCTAAAAAATGGGGTGGAAATAAGTTATATCGATATTTAGATGTTTTTTCGAGTTGTTAATCGATAAGTTCATGTATAGGTTCTGCAATCTGCAAAATTAAAAAATTTATACTTTTTCAAAACACTTGCATCTTCTCTTGAAAAGATATTGACGTGAATCAAAGTCCATACCTAGTGTTAAGAAGGGATCACACCCTAATCCAAATCATGATGATGCTAAGTATATCTAATCACTCACTTTCGCCACACAGCAATAAGTGAAGCGTGAAATAGTAACTCTTGTGTAGGCTACGACACCTACATACCGATTTCAAGCCTTTCGGACTTCTGGCTGAAGACTATTCTGCACTGATGAGAGCCGAAAAGCTTGAAACCGGTATGTAGGTGTCGTAGCTTTAACCTGGCTAGATCGAAATCAATCGGCATCAGGGAAAGAAACACTTGCATTAGTATGCGTTAATACGTATTGATGCATAGATTTCGGGAGGATGTAATTCAATGTTCTGCTTGGCATTAGCCAGGAAAGTAGTTGTTTTTTCTCCCGTTATCTCCTATTGTTGTTTCCTTCATGAATATTTGTGGAAATTACTTTGAGCTTTTTGTGATTATTCAACCTTTCATTCCACTTTGAGTATTGTGGCTATTTCGTAGTTGAAAACAATTTTTGTTTTTTCACTTCCGGTTTCACCGCAAACGACCCCCAACGTTTGAACTTTGAACGGGACACCCTGTATTTTATTCCATAATCGGTGAGGGATTATTTCGACGAATTCAACGATACCAGGTTTGATAGGGATATTTCAAACGATTACGAAGATATTTGCGTTCGAAGTTTCAATATTAAGCTCAGTGGGTGTGACTTCACTTCTTTCTCTGTCACACTCATAAAGCATATGGAAACTCAGAACGCGAATATCTTCGTAATCGTTTTAAATAATCCTATCAAACCCGGTATCTTTGAATTCGTCATAATAATCCCTAACCGACCACCATGGGCAATGTCGCCATCTATTAGAAGATCACTGATTCTCGAGAGTTCGGGAAGAATTTCAAAAACAAAAACGCATCAGTTACTTATTTCCATCATTCTACAAACTGAACAGTCGACCGGATCGGTTGCATTATTCTCTTTGTTTACCCAACAAGGAATCAACTCTTGTAAGTATTCGATCAGTTGAGACATCATGCTTTGATATATGGAACAACTTTCAAAAATATTTAAAAAACGTGAAACAAAATAAAATAATCAGTTTCATATTTATTTATGTACCTACATAGTAATGTGTTGTGGGATAATATAGGGTAATCCATTCATTTATTTCATAAACAACAAAATCTCGCTCTCTGAGTCAAGATTTGACAGCATAGCTCGCTGGAAAAAACATATGTCTGCGGCAATACTGCGAGAAACCCGTATTCGAGAGTCTCATCGTGTGCAAACCACTACTTTTCAGTTTGAACTCAAAAAACAGAGATGTTAAATACCAGCTAGGATGATCTCGAAGGAAATCGACTTGGATCTTTCAACAATGTGTTCTTCGTTTTGTGATATTTTTGTTTTCATGTAGTTGTTTCGCAGGCGCGGTTAATCAAGATTCAAAATTAACATAAAGATTCACAAAATTAATTGCCCAATTATTTCATTTAACGTGTAACTAGTGTCTTATCTATTTCTTCGTAAAAATTGAAATTTGCCCAAACTGCATCGGTGTTTTTCATTTTGACAATTCAATTTATGTCATTATGAAAGCGTACAAAGTTTGCCTTAACTTCTCCAGAGACAAAACGGAGACTTATGTTTTTATGAAATATTCTCTCAAACTTGCATTTTTAGAAGCAGAAACGTATCTAATGTGTGGTAATGTCGCGATTTGGAGATTTTGAAGAGTGAGGAAATTGAAAAAACCATCAACAATAATGTGATTTACATATGCATTAAATTGACTTACACTCAAACACTTTTTCTGGTCGAAGTGACATTTATAATTCGATTTTTGTTGCCTTTAGGAAAATTTTAATTTCCAAGTGAATGAAACAAACTCAATTTGAAATCATTTTTTTCACCTGACAAACGTGATCATCAATTTAATGGCATTTGACCTTGAAAAAAAATTTCGCCTGCGGCACTTTTTTCCTCTCTGTCACCCCCGCGCCTTGAATTAGTCCCCTTCCCCATGGAACAATTCGGTGTTTCGTGTTGATAAAAAAAATACATTTTTAAAATTTTTTTGTTTTACCTTTCAACTGACCTATACTCAACCTACTTTATATTTTTTCGTAGTATTTTCACACCACATGCACTTGTATTGAAAATTAAAGGATTGCAATTTCAATTGGATGCAATGCCTTTTCCTGAAATTTTTACTTGCGGCGCCAAGCAGAAATTAAATCATGTAATAAAATACAGGGTGTCCCATTTGCAAATCAAAAGTGGTGTTCGTTCCCGGTGAAACCTGAAGCACAGTATATACACCCTGAACAAAAATTGTTTGGTATTAGATAAGCAATTTGGTATTCTTGCTACCTATCAATCTTCAAAATCCGATCTCGAATGATTCATAATTTACAGCACCGGCCAGTTTTTTGTGCACTTCTCTGTATGAACCTTCCATTATGTTTCAATTTATTTGGATAGAATTGAGTGTTCCATTGTGTTGCAGGTGAAAGGCCTTTCAAATGCATTGTATGCCTGAAATCTTTCTCGGATCCGAAGAACTTGAAACAACATGAAGAAATTCATTCTGGAGAAAAACCCTACTTGTGTGTCCTTTGTGGAAAGAAATTCCAGAGGAGTCACCACCTCAAGAATCATATGAAAACTCACTTGAAAACCATCTAAAAAATAAATAAAAGATCCATAATTAATTAGGTGTACATTATGTTTTTCTCATTCACCTGAAAAGGTTTTCAATTTGTTTGTAAATGGTTCCTCACTCATTACGGATTTTTCTGAAATTTTGTACGGTTATATAGGCAGCCATTTCAAATTTGTGTTACGTACAATTTAGCTACTAAAGTAAGCGGTGGACTAGAAAAAGGGGTATGCTCCGACCTAAGCCTCAGTGGAGTCGGGGGTGGGTTATTTGCTGACAAAAAAATTACTTTGATAAGGGCGCCAAGTGATTTTCCTTACACATACACCCTGATGTAACTGAAATCACTAAATCTCCAGGTGCTTACTTGTTAGCCTCAATTACTATAGGAATAAAGGAACTAATACTTGAGCATAAACATCATTATATATTCTGAAAGTCTCAGGGGAGTATCACAATAAAAAAATAAATATACAAATAACGAAAGGGCTCTCGAGAGAATATCCGAGGACAAGGTTACCCAAAAAAACGAAACATTGTCCTCGAACAACAACTAGAAACATATAACCTAAATAATTACAGTTATCGGATAGGCCGAAATGTGGGGAACAATACTTCTGATTATTTCTTATTTCCTACTGCGAACCAACACTCTGACTATAGAAAAATCATCCACTATGTGGTACTTATCAGTCTCTCGTTTCCTATCTGCGAAGCTGGCGTTGAAGCATCAGGATTGGTACTGCAACTAAGTCCTCGGATGTCGGCCGATGAACTGTCAATCACCACCTCACGAGAGAATCACCCCGTACTAAGAACGTAGATTGGGAAGTGTCTATAGATTGCCACAAACTTTAGTTGCCGAATAAATTTGTTTAGGTGAAGAAAAAATCGACCCAAAGCGCCTAAAAGAGTATTGAAAAACGTCAACACCGTATAGTCGTGAAACAGTAAAGTAGCTAAAGTGTTATTTAAAGAAACTCACCTCTAGTACGAATCCCTATGCACTAAGAGACGCTCCATACAATGCAACAAAACTTATCCTCCAAGCTGAGGAAAACTCGACGATTCCAACCCAAATTCCGGAGACCCAAAGGAAATCGTCGTGTAGGAATGAAAATAGTGAAAAATCCGTTCAGAACGCTTCAAATACTATACACTATTCATCCATTCGTTTACCATCTAATTCTCACTCATTTACTGTATCCTATACCCAAATCAATATCGATACGTTTTTACCAAGTGAGCCACTTTTTTATAATTTCGGCGGACCAGCTCGGATACGAAAGACGTGAAAGAAATTATCGCGATAGCGCGTATAAAAATATGAAATCCACATGCCGAGTGTTTCATCAGTATATTCCGAAGTATTTGAAATAATCAGGAAAGCAACTAAAAATGGCAGTTATTATTGAAATCATCATTTCTTTATTTATAAGACCTTACCGGGAAGGAAATATGTCACATTTGATCTCATCACAATCCAATATGGACGACCTTCGGGTTTTATCAAAAAAATTATGAACTTCGTTTTTTCAAATGGAACACCCTGCATTTTCACATTTGCAAGTCCTATAGGCCAAAATAAGTTCAAACGTCAAAAGTGCCCAAAAAAAAAAACATTAGAAAAAATGGATTACAGACTCTCGGTCGCGGAATTTCATTATTATTAAGATTGTTAGCCTCAAAGTACTGGCGAACACGTCGGGATCTCGATTGAATTATGAATATTTTATACAACGTGGATAACGTATAGTATTCTACACGCATATAATGAGCTATTATATGCTTGTTGAATAATATACTAGTTTTTCTGTTATGTGTGGGTCATTGTGAATAGCCTTTTGGCCAAATAGCATATTCATCCACGAGGTAAGTACAATGGAAAAACAATTTCAATTTTGAAGAAAAAATTATATACATTTGACATAACCGTTTGTGAAAAAATCCTAATAGAACTTTTTGAAGTTTCAGTTCATGAATAAGAAAAGATTTTGCAACGATTTAGGAAAGTCGTATAATATTATGTTTCATGCATTTATACAGATAGTTCACTGATATTGAATCAATAATATACAGGGTGATTCAAAATTTGATGTTAATATTTTGAGGTCATATTGTTGGGATTAACGACTTTCTTTTTATATAAACATTCTCCTAAAATTCACCCCCTCCAAGCTACAGCCACTGTTAGTTAGGTAAAGAAAAAATATATTATGAAATTATGACTAAAATAACGGATCAAATCTTCTGAAAATTGTCCTTTCAGACACCTTATTTCATTCTTTATTCAAAAATTATGTGAATCCATTTATGGGTTGGTTGGAGGGCGCTCCTTTTTATTTTATTGGTCGAAATAGGACACATGTTTATAAAAAGGAAACAATCTTATTTTGATTCCACCAATACGCCATTGAAATGTGTATATCGAATTTTGAATCACCCTATATATTTATAGATGTGTTTAAACGATTTTTGAACACACGCAGTGAAGTTGTTGAGTTTTTTCAATGTAGGTATCATTTTTTGTATGAATAGCAATTAGTTGCATGTTCTCTTTAATCTATATGATACTACTGAATCTTTAATGATCATTTCCTCTCGCATGTCGCTTCATAAGTTAGCACAATCAATCATAAAGGTGAAGTATATCACAATTAAAATGGTTGGGCAAAACATGATTCACAAAGATCTAGGTAAAACAGTGAGATTTTTTTGCGATAACACATCAATCCCTGGATTCTCCTGGCTGGCTATGAAAAAATTATCTTGTCTAGAAAGGTGGGTTTATTAATATAGTTCTTGGTTCCTCAGATCATCTTTCAGGGTATCCCAGAATAACGTTCGTATATTTCAGTAGGTGAGCTATTTTACTGCTAAAAAAATGTTGATCGACTTGATTTTTTCTCTGTTCACATTCTGCGATGAAATGAGATGACAATGAAAAAAAAACAAGTTTAGCAGGTTTAGCAGCACCAACGAACAGACCTCATGCTGGCCATTTACTCTTTTTTTTAACATTGATAAGCGCTGTCCCGCGATTGAGGTGGCAGGAATGGCTTTTGTTGATAAGATATACAGGGTGGGGCATTAGTGCGTCGGAGCTCGATTGCTCGACATCTATGATAGCTAGAAACCTGATTCAAAAACGAATGTGAATGAGACAACAAGGTCCATAACTAGAAATTATTGCCGCATATACAGGGCGCACCAAAAATTATCTAGAGGGTCGGGATCATTTTTTTTAAATGGAATGCCCTGTATATTTGCATATTTTTTAAGCATCCCTGTGACCTTTATCCACTCCTATGATATCGTTGACTATATCTCGTTCATATCAAAGTTATGATTTGTTTTGTCGAAATAATGTCATCTGCAGATGCCTACCGAAAATATCACTGTTGTCACAATTATAAAATTTAAGAAAAAATAATCTCAATATCATTTATTGAAAAGATGAGTGACATTTCTGAAAATGTTTCAGGCCCTCAAATGATACAGGGTGGCTGAAAATGATTTTTTAATTCGGAACTTTTCGAAGTGATTTTTCACGAGTTTTTCAAATGGAACACCCCATATATTTTTTGACCATTTGATGTAAAATCGAAACACTAACATATTTATCTGAACATCCATATCGATATTCATAATAATTTTCGAATTATTGAACTTTGAAAATTATAGGTTGGCGATTTTGATCGATTCAGATTCTTATCTGTCATTAAAACATCAAGTCCAATTATTAATTTAGTGAACCAATTTTTTCAAAGAAAGAATCGATACCAGAATCGAAGCAAACAGAAAAAGTTCACATGCTAGTTATTCACAAAGTAAAAAGAGACAAAATTTGCATTTCTCAAGTATCCCATAAATACATGGCACATTGAAAGCAAAACCAGAATAATTGAGAAATGAAATTTTTTCCGTCTCTACTTTGTAAATATTTAGCATAATTATGACCTATTCATGTCTGCTTTGGTTCTGACCTCGATTCTTTCAATAAAAAATTGGTTTACTAAATTGTTGATTGAACTTTTGATGTTTCAATAACAGATTAGAATGGATATGGATGTTCGAATAAATATGTTTGTGTTTCGATTTTACATCAAATGGTCAAATTATATATGGGGTGTTCCATTTGAAAAACTCGAGAAAAATCACTTCGAAAAGTTCCGAATAAAAATCATTTTCAGCCACCCTGTATCATTTGAGAGCCTGAAACATTTTCAGAAATGCACTCATCATTTCAATAAATGATATTGAGATTATTTTTTCTTAACGTTTATAATTGTGACAACAGTGATATTTTCGGTAGACATCTGCAGATGACATTATTTCGAGCAAGAAATTCATAACTTTGATACGAAACAGATATAGTCAACGATATCATAGGAGTGGATGAAGATCACAGGGATGCTTCAAAAAATATGCAAATATATTGGTATTCCAATTAAAAAAATGATCCCGACCCTCTAGATTATTTTCGGTGCGCCCTGTATATGCGGCAATAATTTCTAGTTATGGACCTTGTTATCTCATTCACATTCGTTTTTGAATCAGGTTTCTAGCTATCATAGAACTCGAGCAATCGAGCTCCGACGCACTAATGCCCCACCCTGTATATTAATTATTACAACAGATGAAAAAATGAACCAAGCTTCTTCAAATAAGACATTGAACAATGTAGCTGGCTCCCGGGCTATAAAATAATTGATCATTTCGTATTGGATATTGAAAAAAATACAGAAAATATTTACTACCTGTTTAGAGACAGTGAAATGGTATTCTGGTTGTTGTTAATTTTTCAGAATGTTCTGGATCATCATCAATACAACGATTTTGATAACGACCATCGTTTTATTACATTATCTATGGGAAGATTTTATGGAAACTCCAACTATTGTAACATTAGATTCAAGAAATTTGCCAGTCCATCGAATCAAGTTTCCAGCTGTTGCTATTTGTAGTGTGAACAAGATCAGCCGAAAAAGAGCAACTGAATTTGCAACATATTTGTAAGTGGAGATCAATTGAATTGTCTTTGGACATACATACATACATAGTCCAATAAATGAAGGAGGAAAAAAATTCAAAGTTGACGTTAATTACGCACTATTTTCATCTTCCGGTTGGAAGTAGCTTTTGGTACCTCATTAAACATGAGACAAAGTTTGACTGGAAAACGCGTGCGATGGCGGAGAAAATGGCCCCAAAAGACCAGAAAAAAAGGTTTTCAGCCAATATCTCCTAAAATATGGCAGTTAGAGATTTTCGGTTCAGATAAAAATTGAAGTTCAGTTAATTTTCTACAAAAATGGTCCTTGTCATTTTTCTCGAAAATTTGCCCGGTTTCGAGAAAAACGGCACGAAGCGCACCTCGAATAATGAGCTTGTGTTGTATGCCGGAGAGCACAGTCCGTGTATTTACACATCGGCGGGGGGACAAATTATTCAATAACTTTGTTAAAGATGCATATTTTCTCATGATTCAAAGTTCATGTAATGTATGTTAACTTTTTCCCTTTATTTATTGGACTAACATACATATAAATACATATGCATTGGTTGATATTTGACAAAGTTATCGGCATGGTATTGTTGGAAGAGGTCCTGTCTGATAGCCACCATGATCACTTCATCTAACCTCTTTGGACTTTGGTTGTTGCATCAGAGAATTATTGTCGAAGAATGCCGCTCAATAACACCAGATATATCTGGTGAAATTTTCGAACAGAATCTGAAAACAGAATGTATTGTTGTTTGAAAGTTAACGGTGGTAGTTTAGAGCATTATATTTTGAATAAAACTTGATTTCGCTTCACTCGCTATTCTGCTTCTTTAGGTTTAGTCTGTTTCATTTTTGGTGAGCTGATCAACACAGCAAGGACGTAAATGTGTAATGGATAAAAAGCTCAAAATATTGAACATTTCTGTTAGAAATTCGACTGCAAATTTCGGTTTGTCAATATTTTATTTTTAGTCAATACTTTTCAATTACACAATAAGTTTGGATGTCCATCCTGTTCATATCTACTGTATATGAATTGTCTAACTATTGGACATGAATAGTAGAAGTCCTGGATATGAATTGGATAACTACAGGACACCTATTGTACAAACAAAGTACATCAATCGTACATGTTATGTAACTTTTGGACAATATAATATAACTCTGCTCCCGCTATATATTTTGAATATATTTTCTCTTCTATAATTTTGTCCTAAAAGAGTCTCCAGAAAAGCTGTTGTAGCCCTCTGCATTTATAGTATTCACTTCTACAGCTTAAATGGTTGATTCATACAAAGTTCATAATCACAATTTCACTCGGCGTTGGGTTAATTGAGAAAAGTAAATCACTATTGAATATTCCATATTAAATAACCGATGGATGATTTCTCTGAAAAATAATAAATGAGAGCACACACACACATTCGAAATCGATGTTAGATTCGCTATTTTCCGCAATATGAATGGCCGTTAGCTTTCGATATTGTTTACCTAGGGATTACCGCACGGTAAGCGATTTTTGCAAATTTTAAAGGAACTGACGTCTATGAACTCCGCTGACCTGATCGAAACTACAATGTACTGGATGTTTCAATTTGGCAAAGTTAATTCATAATTAAAGATCTTGAAATAAACGCGAGTTTGAGTTATGTTATTCCATAGGCATTTGTACTTCTTGACACATATGAACATTCGAACCCTTTTTGGACCTTAAATGGACATCCATTGGATGACCTTTGTTATTATAAGTATGTGTCAAATCTTAACCATTTCAAATTTCAAAATTTGATTTTTATTGTAATCTGCGATATTTACTCATTATTGTTTCTGATTTTCAAGATACAGGCCAGGGTCCATTATTCTCCTCGCCTTTCCATAAGTAACCTTCAAACTAAATAATCAAGGCTATAATAAACCATTAAGTGTATATAATCAAGTCCTATATTATATCAAGAATGAATATGAATATTTTTCAGGAACCAATTCACTACAAAGAAAAGAGTTTCGGAAGTTCTTAGTGATATCGAATTACTAGGAAATCTATATGATTTCAACTTAAAAAACGCCGAAAGGCTAGCTTTAGTTCAAGATTTCTTCGACGACTTCGATAACTATACCAGCATTGATGGTCCTATGAGAAGAATGGTTCAGGCAAGTTTTCAAGTCTATTCCTTCATTGTTTTGCTGCAGACTTGAAAATCATACAGTTGCGGAATCAATAATTATTTATAGCTTGAAATTTATAGCTAGCGCCAAAATGTGATGAAATATTGAAAGAATGTAGATGGGACGGAAGTATATACGATTGTGAAGATTTATTCAACTTCAGGATAACTTACGACGGTTTTTGTTGTGTCTTCAATTACATGAGGAAAGTATCCAAAAGACTAAGGTATGTGAGAAATTTTCCATCCTCCAAAACCCCCGGATTTACCCTCCCATTAATATAAAAATATTTGTACCGTTTGTGATTTTGTTGCAATTTTTTGATGATATCATATTTGAATTCAGATTAACTCTGTAGGCACAAGAAGGCATGTCTTTCAATGGGGACAGTGCAATAATAGTGAATTGCAATTTAGAGTTATATCGTTCATATTATAAGTTAGGAGGATTTGAAAAAAATGTTGAGACATGCAAAATGTAGTTCACTGGCTCAGTGACATGAAACTTATCATACATTTTGATAAAACAGAGTTTCTACCATTTACTTCTTATAAAAGTAAATTGCCTGAGTACGATAAGCTGACAATAAATTACGGAAAAGAACCTATACATATCAAATATACAGAATGCATCTGATATCTTGGGATTACCATTGATCAACATCTGAGATGGGACAAGCACATCCAAAACGTTGTGAATACTTTGAGAACCATGCTCTACCGTTTCAAATATTTGGTTAATATTCTTGATACATACCATATGAAAATATTGAATTATGCATTGGTGGAATCTCGATTACAGTACTGAATTTTTGCTTGGGGTGGAGCACTGGATGTTTACTTGAAACGGATGATAACTCTACAAAAATATTTTTTGAAGATTATTTTCGAGAAAAATCGTACTTATCCAACTGAAAAACTCTTTGCTGAAACGAAACTATTAGACATCAGGCAATTATTCTATTTTCACATCCTTGTTTTTATATACAAAAATAAAAATATAATCCAAATAATAGACCATTCTCATCAAACTAGACAAAAAACCAAATCACTTGCAAGAACAGAAACCTCAAGAAAAAATATAGGGCAACGAAACCACTATTTACTTGTCATCACGAATATATAACCTTTTAGCTGATGAAAATAAAAAATATATTGGTAACACTAACATACATAAACTAAAAAGAATATTGAAAGACTATATATTCTGAATGCAGATAGATTAAGTATTCATGGAATAGTAACCATGAAGAATTTTGTTTGAGAATGAGTTTTTGTCAACTGCTGAATTCAAATGTAATTGTTTTAGTCATTAAGTTAGTAATAAATTGTTAATATATATATATATATATTATGCATTGTATAAGTGACCATTGCGATTGCGTCCCTATATATAATATCATATTAATGTTCCTTGTACAATGAAATTAATGTTTTTTTTCTGTACCTTGAAAGTCAGCAATTTTCGCATTTTTGTTCATACACACTCCACCAGAATGAAATAATATATACCATTTATTCGACTTATCCACAAATGGCGGCCATGGAGGTTCGTTTGACATGAGCTCTGAAATTCAACAACTTCGAACAACTCTTATAGACTCATTATTTATATAAAGAAGCGTTGCAGTGTTGCAAAAATGAATTTAGGTTTCTAATTCATCATCAGTCCACTCGCCCATTATAATAACCATTAGACCTATGAAATAACTAACCATCCTGATACGATATGAGATTGGAATGATACCAATGGAAGTTGGGATAAAAATCATTTTAGAATAGACTGTCCCCATTTGGGGACACAGTGAGCAGCGAAGGACAAATATTTGCGTAATATCTAACAACATTAAAATTATGAATATTCTCTTCCCTAATGAAAAAACAGTAATACAACCCGCGAAATAGTAGATACATGTCTCTGAATATCAGTTGCTACACATCTCATTTCCATCATAGTCTGAGTGTACCGTATGTTAAGTTACGCTGTAATATCGAATCATTTTCAAGACGTGCTACTCAAATGAATAAAACAGCACCAAAGGAACCCATGCGACCAAATGGGGCTGGTGTACAGAGGGGCCTTCGACTAACTCTCAATAACAACGTCAACGACTACTTCTTCAGTACTTTCCCAGCCATCGGGTTCACAGTGCAGATATTCTATCCCAACGATTTTCCAGACAAAATGAGTGGTTCGCTGTCGGAAGCATTCATCAATGCCGGGACTGAAGCTCTGATAAGTATGGAGTTCAGTATGACAAAAACTTCGGAAGCCGTGAAAATACTCCCTATAGAATTGGTAAGAAAATTAAAATTTTTCTACGGCTATAACACAAGATTGCTCTTGTTATACGACGCTATACATAGTGGAGTATACTACGGCCTTGCCAAAAATGCTATCTCGGAAACTAAGCGAGATAGAGGTATAGTTACTGTGGAGAAAATGATCCCCATCGAATTTTGAGCAACTTTGGTTTTTGTGTCTGTCTGTACTCTGTGGTAATCATAAATCGATATATCTCCGGAACCCTTTGACATATCGACTTGAAATTTTGCCATCTTATTGTACTCAAAACAGTATTATGTCATTGAAATATGAAGGAAATCGGAAAACTCTAAGGTGGTTTTTCCGGGTTTTTTCGATTTTTCACCGGAAGTTTCTTGTGACCACTCTACAAATCGCAAAAGTGGTCCGATCGATTTCATTTTTTGTGAAAAAAAAAACTCTATCAGGGAGAGACGAAGCCTATTGAAATTGAGCAGGGTCGGGAAATTCCAAGTGGGTTTTTCAAGGAGATTTTCCGAAACACACGGTTCGCTTTAAAACGACATATCTCCTGAACCAATAGACTAAATCCAAATTTGAAAAATGCACCGTATGCCTTTTTGATGACGCAAAAAATCATTATTTCACCATTTTTTCGTGCATCCATCGGAAAATGGAAAAACAAATGAAAATCAAAATTTGAAATCCTTTCAATTCAATATATATCGAAAACAAATGGAAAAATCGAAAATTATCAGAAGTGCAAAGTTATCCACTGGAACATTTCCTACAAATTATTACCCAATTTTTTTTCTGTAAACCCAATAGTACAGGAAATAAAGTAAAAAATGTGAAAAAAAAATTTGAACGACCCATAGGGTACCATGAAGATATATTGAAAAACAAAAAATTATCGATAGATGAAGATCATCGACTTCCACGGAACCATGAAATATTTTTTCCTTCTGTTGATTGGAAGATGGAACAAAAGTGTTGAAAATTTTATTCTCAGATGATTCCAAATATCTCGAAAACAACTGGAAATATCTGAAAATGTTATTGAACCAAAATTATTCCTTTTGATAGAATCTACAAAAAATCCTTATAACATTTTTCTCTGAATTCAATAGTTCGGGAGATACGATGAAAAAACTAAAAAATTTACAAGTTCCTAGATAATCACTTGCCAATAGAAAAAGAAACAAAGAACAAAAGAAAGTAAAAAAAGCACACTCGACTGTCTTGATTATTTTCCCATAAACTACTTACCTAGCTCACTCGACTGTCTTTATTTTTCGCCAATAAACTAGGTACCTAGCTCACTCGACTGTCTTAATTTTTTGCCCATAAACTACGTACCTAGCTCACTCGACTGTCTTGATTTCCCACAAAGAAGAAATATGTTGGCAAAGTTTTAACTTTCTTTTGTTTTTGTTTTTTCAGTCCCTATTGGCAGTCGAGTGAGCTAGGTACGTAGTTTGTGTGGAAAAACCAAGACAGTCGAGTGGGCTAAGTACGTAGTTTGTGTGAGAAATCTTCACTTCTCTGAACTTTCATAGCGTCGTATACACATCTTTGGTGCCCAATGATAGTTTCAATATAAAAATATGCTCATGATATGGTGCCATGGCCTCTACTTCCATCTTACATGAGCAATGATAAAATATCATCTGCTTTTATAGCGCCGTATAAATTATCTGACCCCTATACTAATCTAATACCTGATGAAAACTACATCTATACTAATCTGATACCTTTCAAAAACTACGTACCTCACTTGTTTCACTTTGTTCGATACATCAATGAGGTACTTTGTATGTATGTCATCAATTTTATTTCCGTATCTGATATCACAATGACTCCATTGTGTTATTATTTCATAAAAAAAACTGATCGCCCATAGAATGTCAAATGTGAAGCAATGACAGCTCTGTCTAATAGATGAGCATTACTTGACAGAAAATCAGATGGCTACAAGACGCAGAAATCGAAAATGTCGCTGTCATCTATTATAGCCGTAGAAAAGTTATACTGTATAACTTGCACGGAATGGTAATTTCCTACTCGCCTATGGCTCACGCTGCAAACTTCATTCTCGTAGGAAATCACTATCATTCCGTGCCCGTTAAACAATAAACTATTTCTTATTCGCGTTGGAGAAAGCGTACGCTATACCGAGCGGTGATTGAAAGCTCTTCAAGTGGAATCATGAATCTGTTTTTCGAGTTTGATTGTATTAATTCTAGTCTAATAATTCTATAAATTTTGGAACGTTTTCCCCTCTCTTTCCCAGATCCAGATTCTTTCTCTTCAAATCATGTTTGCATGGTAAAAACTTCTATTAAAATGTCAAAAAGATAACCAAAAGGGCCCATTTTCAAGGGTTCTATGATTTCTGCAAGTTCAGCAAACCCTGAGGTGACAGAGTTGTGTGATGCCCCGAAATAATTAGTAGAGCTCAATTGAATCAATTCAGAATGTATCAAGTTTATTTAGCAGAATAGTCAGCTTATACTTAGAACAAATATTGGTTTGATTATAGCATTACAAAACAGTGTACTGTTAATTTCATTTTTTGAATGATAGGAAAGATATGGAAGTTATGAGATATCAAAAGTTGTGTTATTTGCCTTGATGTATTTGAGATGTTTAAAAGTTGAAGTTCATCAATGTTGTCCAGTTGATTAGGTTTTTGGGTGAAGATTGAAGATTTCATCGAATGACTTCAATTCATTTATTGAGATCCTAAATATGCATTGAATATGCTGAAAATTTGAGATATGTTATTCTATTCAAGTTTTTAAGATTTGAAATTGATGCATTTTTATTTTTTTTTCTAGATAATGCCAACAATATAGCCCTAACCCACAACTCAAGTTATGTGATCGACTAACCGTGTGAAAACATACCAGCCGCTTGGTATTCAACCTGTTTACATCTCCTTGGACAGTTGGACTATAATACACTCAGTTCCAAAAAAAGTGACGCACTTGATATTTGACCTATCTTCTTAAAAAAAATAGTAGGCCGATTTTTATTTTTTTTATTTGTTGGTAGGTAATGCATTTGTCTTAAAAAAAAAATAAAGAGGTGAAATTTTTTTCAAAGCCTCCTTGATGGTGGTGGAATAACTCGAACCATGATTTATTCTAAATTTTTGACTCACCCTGTGTGTTGGGTAATGGTATACAAAGTGCTCGCATCCTCTACGAAAGATGCTCCTTTTGCGAGAATTTGGTCTTTTTATCCATTGATTCATCTGAAATTTTCCGAATTACAGCTTTTTTGCTGATACCTTACGCTTATCCCACAAATTCAATTTATTGAAGGATCAGAGTACTCGAAATTGATTGGGTTGTACTCTGGTAGGATGACATTGTCTTTTAAAAAACAAATGCCGTTGCCATAGCAACTAATTTGTTGTATGCCTCCATATTTGACCATTTGTCGTTGTGTCATTAATTAAGTGTCTTGTTTCATTGACTGAAATTACATAAAATGTCTCAAATAAATCCTGAACAAGTAGCAAGATTGGTTGCGTTAGTAAACGATGGGCGTAGTAAACGTGACGCCGCTCGTGCAGTGGGAGTTCATGAAGCAACTGCTCGTAGAGCAATCCGCAAGTACGAACAAACAGGAAGCACCGCTCGGAGGGTCGGTTCTGGTCGCCCCCGAAAAACTTCTCCAACAGATAATCGCTTCTTGAGATTGCGGATTTTACGGAATTGATCAAATACTGCGGTGAATAATAATAATAATAATAATAATGGGTCTTTATTTTCATCTAAATCATTAATACAACTACATATTTTAAATGTTCAGCAAGATCTTTGCCAAATTCGTTATGTTGCAGTAAGTAAGCAGACGGTATGTAGACGTCTGAAAGAAGTTAATTTAAAAGCTAGGAGACCTGCAAAAGGTCCTACATTATTGCCCGAACATCGTGCTGCTAGAAGAAATTTTATTGAAAATTATGGACAGTGGAATATTCCTGAATGGTCGAATGTCTTGTTTACGGATGATTCAAGGTTTTGCCTCAACATGGTGGATGGGAGAAAAAGAGTGTGGAGAAGAAGTGGTGAACGGTTTAATCAAAATTTAATAACAGAATGGGAAAGTTTTAATGGTGGGTCCGTTATGGTGTGGGGGGGGGGGGGGATTTCAATGAATGGAAAGGCAGTCGATGAATGCCCAAATTTACATTGACATTTTAGAGCCAGTATGTCTTACCTTATGCAGAGTTGGTGGGCAATCATTTTATATTGATGCAGGATAATGCCCGGCCACACACCGCAGCAATAGTGCGAAACTTCTTAGAAGCTACTGGTATTACCACATTACAATGGCCTGCGAGAAGCCCCGATGTGAATCCTATAGAACATTTGGGGGATGAATTATGGAGAAGGGTACGTTCTCGCGAGAGGTCTCCGGAAAGTCTCGCAGAAATGGCAGATGCATTAGTGGAAGAATGGGATCGTATAATAATGCAACTTGATTTCCAGTATGACTCGTAGATTAGAAGTTCTTAGAGTTGCTAGAGGAGGCGATACACGGTATTAAGAAGTCATCCTAATTTATAATTTTGTGTTTAATAAAAATGTTTCTTAAAATTATTGATATCAGTTCATTTCATTAGAAAATTGTTTCTCGATTAATTCAGAAGGTTGGTAATCTGCAAGGATTCAGCAAAAAAAGCTGTAATTCGGAAAATTATGAATTAGATGAATCAATGAATTGAAAAAAATTCTCGCAAAAGAAGCCTCTTTCGTATAGGGTGTAAGCACTTCCTATGCCATCACTCGATTAACACACAGGGTGAGTCAAAAATTAAGAATAAATCATGGTTCGAGTTATTCCACCACCATCAAGGAGGCTTTGAAAAAATTTTCACCTCTTTATTTTTTTTTTAAAGACAAATGCATTACCTACCAACGAATAAAAAAAAATCGGCCTACTATTTTTTTTTTCAAGAAGATAGGTCAAATATCAAGTGCGTCACTTTTTTTGGAACTGAGTGTATGATACAGCTACATACATATCTTTGATGGCATCTTCAATTTTGGTTATTGGGTGTATTTTAGGCATTTTTGTCAATACGTTTTCGTTTTTATAGTTTTGGTTGTTTCGTGGATTAATTATGTGATTGAAATCAAAAAAATATTGAGTGAATGAAATATTGGATCCTTTCCGTTTTAGAGACGGTGCAAATTTCAATCGGAGCGCAAAACTATATTTGGTCCCTACAGATATAGCGATTGTTTGGTAGAATGCAAAATAAGAAGTATGCAGTCTTTGTGTAACTGTGTACCTTTCACTGTACCTGTTCTAGAAGAAGACGATGGCACTGACAGGTTACCGCTTTGTACATTAATTGATATACCTTGTCTCCACAAGTACAAAGGTAAAATTTTAGTTCTTACTTTTTATTTTACTTATTACTACTTCAAATAAAATTATGACACTGAAGTAGCTTTCGCAACGCTTTCGTCTAAGAAGGAACACAATTTCAAATTCGTACAGTTTAATAGAGTTTTGTTTTTTATAGCAAAATGGTCACGATATTATCCAAATGATCCGAACGGTGTTGAGAGTGATATTCTACGTCAAGAAAAGCATGATTCTATAAATTGTCCAGAATGCCTACCAGATTGTAATAGTATTGCTTATCAACCATCAGTCATTTCGACTTCACTTCATAATGAAAGGTGAATATACGGTTACTCTTGGAAAAATGTCTCCATATATTATATCATTCTTTGAATCACTGTTTCCGGAACACTCTTGTTTTTCTACCACTAGCTATAGCCGATTGAATTTAAGATCGCAGCGCCAAAGTGGCCAGTTGTGGAACTATATGAAAGTACATTCATTTGCTTGTGTGTATTATTTCGATTTTTTATAGTGATTTGAGCAAAGAAAACTGTTTATTTTTGTGATTCGAGGGAGCTTTTCAGCAGGTATTCGTTGAATAATAAATGGAAGTTACACTGTTACGTTGTTTGCCGACAATTGGCGGATTTCACTGTTTGACGCCGGCATATAAATTTCTTTTCTTTTGTATTCATCTCATATAAAACTAGAAACTAGCATGTTTATCAAAGATATTATTATTATCAAAGGAAGGAATGCTCAAAGAATTATAAGACAGAAACATGTCCCTTCTGATTATGTAACACCATTAAAATTTGTCGAGCATTCCTTCCTTCCTTTGAAAATTTCAACTCCACTTTGAGCAGTATGGACTACCAAAGATTAGAGATATATTATGTATATCTTGAAGTTGAATTATACTATTTTTCCTGATGTTTAATACATCAAATACATTTTTTCAGCAGCAATACAACTCACGTGAATATCTTTTTCAATTCTGCATTTGGAAATGCTTATAAAATAGACGTTACACAGACCTGGTTTGAAGTTATCAGTAAGAATGATTCTATTTGAGTTTGTTTGAAAGATGAAATTTTTAAAATGTTTTTCGTATGTTTCAGGTAATTTTGGAGGCTTTCTATCATTGTTAATGGGGGTGAGTGTCATCAGTCTCATAGAAGTATTCATTCTTCTTTTCAGATTAGGAAAATACTGTAGCAACAAAATCACATCAACTTCTTGAATTGATGGGAGAATTAAATGGTAATCTACTTAAACAAAATGTGTTGTTCTTTCTTTCATTTATTATAAATAAAACAGAAAACATACATATTTCTCAGTAAATTTGCTATAGAATTAAGGTAAAAAATAAAAATACAATTCACAACTCTTCTGACAAGAACAGTTATTGATCTTTTTGTTGTGCAAAATGAAAAAAAAAATATATCACAAGTTCAAAAAATAAATCTTAAGACGCAAAAGTTCATATGAAGATATGAATTTGGCAAAAAATAAGTTCCAACAATCCTTCCCATGCAAAGACCAGAAATTGGATAATTTCTGGTCAAATACCTTTATACCAAAGAAGGGAAGAGTTGTATTTCGTGCAAGATAATTATTATATTAATTATCTTGCACGAAATACAACTCTTCCCTTCTTTGGTATATATACACGTGCACACAGCCCAGCAACCCACACAATTACCTTTATATTCATTAGGATTTGCCAGCATGAGTTTCACTTCCGCAAAACAACTGATTGACAATAGGCAAGAACACAAATGCGTGGATTCTGTTTGAATGTACAGAAAGAGAGTTCCTTGAAAATAAAAATTGAACAAACAATACATAGAAAAGTTAAGGTGGGGTTCAAAATTTACGTCCAGACCCTGTGCAACGCAACTAGAAAAGCAATAATAGTAGTATCCTTGTAGTATACAGGAAATTTGAAAAAAAGTTTCCCGTTATTGTGATAGGTATCCTGTATATACCTATATGTTTCGAAATTCGACCGACAACGCTTGACAGATCATAGCCCTCCTGATTGCATAATTACTGAGATAGGGACATACGGCCTTCAAGTGTTCTGTACTCGAGATACAGGGTGTGGAAGTTGAGAAATAAAAATAGGGTTTTCCCAATAACTCTAGAATGTTGAAAAGGGATTTCTTTCCACGTCCTGATTGATGAATATCCATTTGTCCTACATCCAAAAATTCTAGAATGATTGAATATTTTTTGCATGCAAATTCGGTGCATCGTTTCATTTTTGGCCCAAAATAGAAGATTGCATAGTAATTTTCAGTAGTAGA